AATTTTGCATTGTCCCTTACCGTTGCGGTTCTGCTCGGTTTAGCTTTACCGGCAAGACCTTCCCTCGGGACGTCTCGTGCCTCGTACCTGCGCTGAAATCGAAACCTTTCGGCTTCAGTCAGCTCACTTGGTAACTGCTGACGGCCGAATTACTATTTTTCTTTGCCTTGTTATCTCAACTGCAAGACCCACGCAGTAATTCACGATGAAGCAGGACATGAAGCATTTATGTCTATCTTCCTACTCTGGAGATGAGCCACGGGATGGACTCCTGAAGAGTTTTGCACTTGCTATGACTTGCAAAGTGCAGCTAAGCAAGGATTCGAGTCGTACTACCTCCTGCCATGGAATGGAGATAAAACGAGACGAAAACCACTTTCCGTCTTAAACACTATCTTTCCCTCTGCAGTCACCTGAAGTCTACTCACATTTCAACTGTTTGTCGGGTTTGCTGTTTTTGCAACATCTGTGCAACGAAGCACAGCAACCAAGTCACCTTTCTTATCGACGCTGCGGTCATCTTCTGAAACAAGTTAACGTCGATCGGTTTCGCTGCTTCTGCAACACCTGTGCAAACGAAGCAAAGCAACCGAGTCATCTTCCTAAGACACCTGTCTTATCGACACTGTGGTCAATTATCCGACACTGGTCAATTCCTGAAGTACCATTCCTAAAGTAATTATGGTGTTGGTCGGGTTTGCTGCTTCTGCAACACCTGTGCAATAAAACAAGCAGCCAATTAATCATCTAACCATCTAACCTTGAATGTGAATCATACCTTTCCGATCGACTGCTGCGACTACCTTCCAAAGTCATTAAGCTGTAAGTCGGGTTGCTGCTCCAGCAACTCCTGAGCAGTGCCAAACAAGTCAACCGAGTCATCCTATCTCGGATATAAAACAACCCACCTTCCTTATCGATGCTGCGGTCACCTCCTGAAGCAAGTAAATTGTTGGTCGGGTCCGCTGCTGGCCTCATCTCTCCTGTAGTCGCCGGAGTGTTCGACTCTTTATACTCCGGTAGCAGTGTATTTGCGGTGGGGTTTGCCGCCTTACACGCTCAAATGGTTCCGTTTTTCACATGCCAGGAACACCTCCTCAGCATGGATTGTCGCCTGTGCCAGTGACCTGCTGCTCCCGTCACTGCACGCCCAGCCCTTATGCCTAGAGCGTAAGCTGACCGAGAATTCCACCCATACCCGGCCGGTGTATGTTCGGTGGGCATGGACCCCCAGAGGACCACCCTCTGCCATGCTACTCACTCTGGTAGATAGGTGGGGCAGGCCCTATCACCAGTTCTCCTCAGCTCCTACGCGTCCGGGCCGCGACTGCCGTCCTGCTCCCCGCGAGCAGACGGTCCGGTGACGTCCTCCTCCAAGAGACGTCTGTAGGCTGCACGTCCTACCTAGCACTCGCCCTTCTCTCAGGGACGTAGGCAGACGGCACGACCTACTCAATAAACGGAAACCACATTTCTGGCCCAGCACATCACCCGCCAAATACCAAATGCGTTTATCATTCTGTCAAATACTTCCCAACTGGACGGGAGTATCACCAATGTTGACTGGGATTATCTTCACAAATCACAACCCTCAACTGACTGATGAGATGACTGTCTGTTTGAACCGAAGCAAAGTTAAAAGTATATTGCCGTCCAATGTTAACCAAAATAATGACTAATTGATACAAAATTTACCTATCAACTAGGGCAAAGGGTCTAACACAGAGAGAATTACTTCACCTGAATTCGACTTACCGGAAACCTGCCACATGCTCTGAAATATTGAAATTCCTGTGTAAGAACTGAATAGATGTAAACGACGTTGTACTCTCACAAATAAATGACATCTCAAACTGTGAAACATTGAACCGATCTTGTACACTGAACCTTGTCAACAACTCAGCCATAATGCAACTCTACCAGTGACCAACCAGTTAAAAACCCAAAAGAATAACTAATCATGTCAGCGAGGCATCAATCCACTCAGTCACAATGACACTTCGGACTGTGTCAGGGCCATGTAAGGTTATGTCAACGGACCTCTGACAACGAACCTCTGAACTCCGGAACCTTGATCATGGGATACTTCCGCGATCTTGAAAGCTGATCGAATGGTATATCCGGTTTGGCGATCAGATGATCGAACTCGCGTTGTTTTTATCTGTGGATAGTTATTGCCCCGAACCAGCTAGCTGACCACTGCGCTGCAATGCACCTGGTCACTGCAGACATCCTATGGCAACTACCCCAGAGTTCAATGACACCAAGTCGGTGTCATCAGAACGTCCAATGACAACGAAGTCAGAGTTAGCTACCTAATGCCAAGTCAGTAACGTCTGAGCGTAAAAATTCATGAAAAAATAAGAACACAAAGCCGATGTTATCAGATCAAACAGATGGACCAGCTCAATAACACCAAGTCGGCATTATATGAGCGCCTTACGGGCAACTTCTTGATAAAGTTCAATTATACCAAGTAAGTATCATCCGAACACATATTCAAGTCAAAGGAATCGAATGGATGTAATCCATAGAGCATATCTGGACATTCTTTTATACCATGAGTTAAATAGCCATTTGCTGTCATGCCAACGATGCGAACGAATTGATTTGCGAGGTATACGACCGAGTAGCGTATCGCCAGAAGGCAAAGTAAGTAGACCCACAGAAGTAAGCAAGACTAACCTGAATCAATTGAACTTCAAGAGATGGTGACCTCGACGGTGCGTCCGATGTAGGTTGCCCATGCAGCATGCGGACCAACAATTGGCCTGGCGAACCTAGTAGAGTCTGGAACTCGAGCCATTCGCCATCAAATAAAGGTAACTGGAAATGGAAATACACAAATTTGACCAGTCAATTCATGTTTCACGAACACGGTGAAACGGAAAGTTTACGAATCACGAGCAGCAAGCTACACCAACGAAGATCCACGAATCATTCTGGAACAACAAAGAACCTGAAAACTTTACAAGCAAGAACATGCAATGAATCAACGGCATATACAATCAGGGTCCTGTTCGAGCAGAACAGAGTTTGATATCCCGGACGAGCCCCCAATGTAATTTGAAAGTTGTCCCTTTGTATATGCTGCTATGCTGCATTGCTGTCTTATCGCTAGATATGTCTAGGGGATTGTGTCCTTCACTATATTCTTCAATCGTTTACTCTATGTGCTGTCTAGGGGTATTACTGATGAAAACGCGATCGAGTGTGTTTCTGCTTCCTTTCCCTCCTTCGTTCCCAACACCATCCACCATACAGACGTGAACATGAGTTAAAAGTAGATATATTGAAATGAGCCAAAAGATAAGGTCGAAACCAAAATGTCAAAAGGAAGCGATCGAGTCATTAAACGAGACAAGGCCGAAAATCAGTCCTGCACGAATAGCCGTTGCATTAGCACGGGCTGATATCGAAGAATACGGAAGTGTCGAAAGAAGACCGAAAATCAGTCCCACTCGAGTTCCTATCGCACTCGAGTATGCCGATATTGTAGAGGCCGGAAGAGTGCCGAAAGAACAGCCTGCTGCCGCCAAGCCGAGCCAATCGGCTCCCTGGTCAGCGTCATGATGGCGGGCAGGCTGAAACACAAACAGCGCAGTGAGACCGGACAACGGCGGTCAACGGTCACCAAAAAACAAGGGCGAAAGAGATAACCGAATGGGTAGCCGAAAGACAAAACAAACAGTTCAACCATATACCGAATAGTTCGGCAAGTTAAACGGACTTCCTAGAAGACGTCACGTCACCTTGTCCCCACAGCACAGCTCCAAGAGAGCTGGCTGGGGCAGACCGTCTGGTCTGAGTCATTCTTACGTAGGTACTTACTTGTGCATGTTGAGTGGAGTGTTGGAGAGTGGATGTTGTTGAGTGTGGTGTGGACTGTGTGAGTGTGTCGCTGCTGCGTCTGGCGCCCGTTTTATACCTCTCCGACAGTCGTTTGCCCTTGGTGTGTCGTCAACCCATTATCTGACCTAACCCTCGCCGAGTGTTTTTGCTGTGGGCGAACGGTGGAGGTCAGCGAGATAGGAACCGAGCGAGCCGCCGCCGGTTGGTCGGCCTTGGCCTCCGGGCCGACTGACGGGGCGCTTTCCGTCGCTGGAAATAATGAGTGTCGCCGATTAGCCGCTCAGAGCAGATGGAAACGATATTTCTCACACCATAATAAGGAACGCTTGCAGCGCCAGTGTACGAGAGCGTTCCCAAATTTGGGCTCGCGGCCCGGGTGATGGACTGCCTTAGAAATAGGGGAACGATTTGAAACTACGATGGGCCTTACAATATCAAACTCTTTCCCAACAATATTGAGACAACTATCAGGCGGTTAACGATCGTTTTATATTTTTTGGACGTCATTTAACAGTTCTTTTTCTTGTTTTAAATAATGCCTACATGGCGTTCCCATATTTGGGTTTATCGTTCCCAAACATGGGAACGAAAATGCGTTCCCGAAAATGGGTACGCTTGACCATAGTTCCGCCTACTGAATTGGCATGCACATTTCATTTGATTTGACATTCTTCAGTCACTCCGACTCGTGACTCATGTCTCACAGCAACCGAAGGCACTCGGTGTATTACCATATATTCATAAGATGTTGACTTACCTCTAACGCGGATATTCTCCTGAAAAATATACTTCAAGCAGCAAACAAATATGCGATCCCGCCGACACACCGTTACTTGCGAGAATTTGATTCATAACATTACCCCCGCGTTCGATGTCTCTTGGACGACGAAGATTCTACGTCGTCCGGCCAATCCCGTCCAAGGTCAGCGGGGGCTCGGCTGCGGTTGTGGAACGTGATTGGCCGGACGGCGTAGAATCTTCGCCGTCCGGGAGACATCGAACGCGGGGTACGTGGCTGCGTCGGTTATATCTCTAGCTTCACATTTGCCTACGATAAATTGATACCACATCTTTTTTACAAAGCTGCCAAATGCTTTACTTGGCGTGCGTTCTGCAAAGTAATTTTGGCATGTTTCACAACTAATCTTGTGTTACTTGTGCTTCAGGCTTCACAGCAACAACTTGTGGTGGGTGTTCTCTTGGGTGTTCTGTGGGAGTTCTATAGCCTTCTTGGTGCTGTGTTTTTCTGAGATATTTGTGATGATAGATTAATTATGAATTATCAATGTGCTTATGAACTGTCTCACATGTTTTTCCTTCACCTGCACCAGTTTTTGGATGTTATTTGCCACAGATGGGATGCCTATCTTGTTCTATTCTGATTCCACTTCAATTTAAACTTGGACTTCAACTTTGATGCCAATTTTAGATTTTAGTATTTGTCTAGGTCTGATCCCCATATGCTCACTTGATCATCAGTTTCTTTTCAGGACACATATTATAGCAACAAATGAGCTCTGATATGCAGGAGGGCCAAGATGGGCAGCAGCTCCAGCCAAAGAGGCGAGCCAGCTTCACAGAGCCGTTGATGAAGCTGTCTTCGTACCTGCTGGCCTTGCGACCGTGGTCCTTCTCAGCATCACTCATGCCAGTTCTTTTGGGCTGTGCACTAGCTTATAAGGTATGCTGACTGGTGATAGTATAGAATGTGTTAATTTGAAGTTTCACTTGCTACCCTACCCTCTACCTATGCATTAATGTTGAAACAGTCTCAGGAAATTTATATCAATCCTGGGCACAACACTTTTCACTTGGTCAGTACCTAAAGATAATTATGCCAAAGTTTGAATCATGCCTCCCAGGCTCTCTCCATCTCTCTGTCTTACTGTCTCTGTCTCTGTCTCTGTCTCTGTCTCTGTCTCTCTCTCTCTCTCTCTCTCTCTGTCTCTCTCTCTGTCTCTGTCTCTGTCTCTCTGTCTTACTGTCTCTGTCTGTCTGTCTGCCCTGCCCTGCCCTGCCTGTCTCTCTGTCTCTCTTTCTCTCTGTCTGTCTCTCTGTCTCTCTCCTCTCCTCTCTCTCTCTCTCTCTCTCTCTCTCTCTCTCTCTCTCTCTCTCTCTCTCTCTCTCTCTCTCTCTCTCTCTCTCTCACGCACACACCATGGGTTTCTGGGGAACCAATCACAATTCACATGTACCTACTTGTTTTGTTACACATCACCTTTACCTACTTTATTCTCAAGCATGTGAGCCTACTTGCTTTTCCTGCCCTTCCCTGCTCTCCAGACATCTTTTATGGCCAGCTTTTGTACTCATTTGTCTAACATCCCCTCCTGGCTTGCCTCTTCTCTTTCTCCCTGTCAGGTATCTGGAGAGCTGAACCTGGTCGGTGTGTTCCTCACTGCCGTCACCGCTATCGCCGTGCACGCCGCCGGCAACGTGGTCAACACGCTCTACGACTTCGTCAAGGGCGTGGACGTGTCCCGGAGCGACGACCGTGTGCTGGTGGATCACCTGCTCACCAAGGATGAGCTGAACACGCTGGGCGTGCTGCTGTATCTCGTTGGATGCCTCGGGTTCAGTCTGCTTACCGTCGTCTCAGCGGCGCGAATGGAGCACCTCGCGTTTGTGTTCTTCGGCGGCCTGTCCAGCTCGTTCCTCTACACAGGCGGACCGGGACTGAAGTATCTCGGCCTGGGAGATATCCTGATTCTGGTGATATTCGGTCCGATCAGTGTGTTGTTCTCGTTCCTGGCGCAGACGGGTTATGTCCAGTGGCCGGCAATGTTGTACGCCGTGCCGCTAGCGCTCAACACCGAGGCCATCCTTCACAGCAACAACACACGCGATCTGCAAGCTGACAAGGCGGCCGGCATCGTCACCCTGGCCATCACCATTGGCTACACGGCGTCGCGCCTCCTGTACGCGCTGCTACTATTCACGCCGTACGTGCTCTGCATTGTTCACGGTGTTAACTACTCCTCGTGGCTGCTGCTGCCCTGTGTCACCATGCCCACCGCCTTCAAAATCGAGCGCGAGTTCCGCACGGTCAGTATGCAGGACACGCCCAAGAACACGGCCAAGCTGAACGCCTACCTGGGCCTGTGTCTGGTGTTGGCTGTGCTGATGTCTGATGCGAACACTCTGCCCTACCTGACACCGCAGAGGGCGTGACGAGCGGACGGACGGGCCGCAGCACAGGAGAAGCATATGTAGCTCAGCCGCTTATGCGGTTGGGTAGGTGGCGCATTGCTAGCCATCATGATCAGGTGACAGGTTTCTTGACGGCCCTGAGCGACACCCCGTGGCCGTTCTGTTCGATGACCATCTTTTGGAGACGGATGGGCTGTGGTCGACCCCGGGCGATCGGAGAAGCCTGAGAAAGAGTGGGAAGATACCACCTTATATGATTCTCGTGGCCATTACTGCGACAGTATATCTTGCCTATTGCTGTATACGGAGAGGCGTTGTTACTTGTTATGCGTCTGTTATTTTTTCGGTGTTTTTATGTTTATAGTGAACTGTGGTAAGCCAGCCTGTGGCGGGTCTCTAAACTAAATGCTTCCTGTGAACGGTTGTATGTCGTTCTGAAACTCGCGCTGTGTCATGGAACATCATTACTCTCACGCTTTAGTGCGCGCGCCATCGTTTTTTCACCCTTTAAACCGCAGGAAGCGGTCTAATACTCAGCGCCGTGTGTCGCGTATTTATTGTTTGTTACCAACAGAGAGAACATACAGAGTGAAACGCAGCATCACGTGTTGATCAAATCCCATATCTGGAGGACCCCCACATTTCGGCGCACGCACGTCGGGCTGATGGAAAAACCGCAGTTGGCGCCCTCTATTCAGTGCCCGGGCTCAACAGCTGACCGCCGCCGGTGTGCCGCTGATCGCCGTCAGTGCGTCACTGTACGCCGCCGGCACGTCACTGTACGCCACCGGTGCGCTACTGTGCGCCGCCGGTGCGTCACTGCCCGCCGCTCACTGCGGCACAAACAGCTGGTCGCCGGTGAAGGTGCGTCGCTCCACGCCGTTGGCAGTGATGATGGCCACTCGGCAGACGCCGCCCGAGGAGCCGTCACGGTGGATGGCCAGGGACACGCCTGGAACAGGGGAGGGGAGGGATATCAGGTCAACTGTTCGAACACGAGGGAAGGGATGTTAGATCACAGGGAACAACTGTAACATGGAGAGGGGAACGGAGGTGTCAGCCGTCAGGTCACTTGTCGGAGGACACGAGGTTGAGTCAAGACACAGAGAGCGACGCTAAATTGGCACGGGTGACGAGAGATCAGACAACATGACTGACGTTGAAACAGACAGCTACCATACCACAGTGATAAACATCGGGGAGGGAGGACAGGCCATAATTCACAATGCAAAAAACATGATGTAGGACGTAGGTAGACTCAATATCACTTCAAAACAGTAGGCGAGAAACTGAATGAGAGGAATGATCGATACCGAAACATGGGGAGCTGGGAGGACGGGTCACTGCAATATGGAGGCTATCTGCATAGGTCGAGTCACGTCACTGGGCATATTGCTGGAACGGGATCAGACAGTAAGCCATCACTTAGAGGAGATGTCAGACAACATTTCACACACTAAATACGTGGAAATCGATAACACTGAAACACAGGAGATCTAGTCCCGAAATATTCGTGATCAGTAGAATGTGAATATACAGGATCAATCCGTCACTACCTTACTAAATACAATTGTCACACACCAGCGGCAGTGCCTCTCGTTTCCGATGACCTACACCGGTAGCGGCGGAACACCTTCAATTAAGTATGGGCAGTGAATGGGTGTACCCCTCCCCCCCCGTCCGCTGCCTAGTGCCTATGACCTACATAGTCCACGCGCTCTAAAACCCAAACACCATCAACCCACGCCCCATCCCTGCCACTGCCGGCTCCCTGTCCCGACCTGTCACCGGCGCAAATTACATCCGGCGCCCTCCCCCCGCCTCGGCGCGTCGCACATGCATGAACGAAGACGGCATTTTCGCCGTAGCCCAGGTGACTGGGTCGGGAGCGACCCATATCCGCCGCCCGCGGGGTCGCCGAACCGTGCCGGTGGCATGGGAGAGAGAGCGGAGAGTGGCATGGAGAGAGAGGGGAGGAGAGGTAATTAGTGATACCGAGATGTCTGCTCTGTCTCTAGTTAACGCAGTGATGTGTGCAGACGGCAGCGGTGAGTAGGGAATCAGAGACGGGGGCGTTATTTGCCCAACGCAGTGTTCCTCTCTCCGTATGTAGATTCATATGTTGTAGATTTATACATACGGCCCTCGAGGCATTAAGTGGTTGGTTGCCAACATCACAATCGATCTGCATTGATGAATAGTTCTAATGGCTGTTGAAAACCACTGCCGAAATGTGTGCACGAACCCTCTTCTCATTTCTATTGAGTCATTTTGCAGGAGTGTCTGTCATTTAAAGTTATTACACCAAAAACACATAGGCTAACCAACCACTCTTTTGCTGGAGGGCCGTACACGTTTAGCTGCTTGTTGTGTACAAACACCCCCTGTCTCTGACTGGCAGTCCAACGTCCTAATAGACCGAGGTCACCACCGCCGTCCCTGTGTCTGCCGCTGTCTCCCCAGTCCCGAACCATGTATCACGAGCAGGCGGTACCGACGGCCGGCGCAGGGTCAACAGGGGGTCGGCACAGGTCGACGTCCGTCTGCTGCGGACAGAGTGATTAGCGGCGCTGCCGTACGGACGTCAGCAGCGTCCACCGTTACAGGTGGCGTCAGAGACAGACTGACCGGCGGGGCCGGGGGATATACAGCGGCTCTATTGGACTGACTGAGTAACTAGGAGCAGTAATCATGGCCTGGGTCAGATGGCAGCTGACCGATCCAAACCTGACCCGAAAGAACAGGCAAGTAGTGGTTACTGGCTGCATTGGATGGAGATGGAGCATTAGTGAACCGTTAGAGCAGCCAGTCGGACAGCATGATGTAAATATCCCTGCCACCTGCAGCCCAACTACGAAGTTGTGAGATGAATGGGCTTGCGCCTTGCAGTGTTATTAACAGCGGTGAGCGGAGGCTTGTCTGGAGGAAAACGGTTCATCTGGAGTGGTTACCTTCAAATGGTCACTTTTAACGCCACATTTGCTCGTTCATGGGTTCACCAGATCTGCCTGCCACATATCAGCACTTTTGAGAAAGCATAAGTATTGCCGTAGGATGCCGTAGGATATTGAATGTCAGGTCCAACAGTTCGTCTGCACATGACTGCAAGCCGTCGCGTACCTTTCCTAATGAAGTCGACACACTGTTCGGCGGTGAAGTCGGGCTTGTAGTTGCTGTCGAGGTAGCCGTAGATGTAGGTGGAGCCGCTGCCGCCCGAGGCAACCTTCTGTCGTACCATCATACCGCCGATCGGTAGCGAGTAGATCTGGGAAGAGGTGATGGTCAGAGCCTTATAGGTAAAAAGAAACTGAATAAGATAGGGTGAGATGCACTGAATGGTTAGGTCACTCAGCTGACGCCTGACACAGGGCAACATAAACCTGAAAAAAAACGAACAAATATGGCTTGCTAATATTCATGCGATTAACTCTACGACGAATAGGACGTACTAGGGTTACCCGCGTGCTCCGCAACGCGAGGATGGGTTATTTGTTACTCGTGGGTATTGGGTTGGTCTGTGTCAATTTGGTTGGTATCCATTTCGTTCGATTGCTTTTTGACGGCCAAGCATTTTGTAATAAAACAAAAAAGATACATCGCATCGAGGTGCCCGTGTCGTATTATCATGCGTTCTACTTTAGAATGATTCGAAAACTGACGTGAAGTCTTTTGAGGACCATCGATGAATTTCGGTAAAAATGACTATGTAGTGGTTTGAAACATTTGCATTTTTTTTTAGAATATTGTTGCTTGTCATGCAAAAATTTTGGGTGTATCTTGGACGAAATTGAATGCTCTTTCAAACGGTACCAGTTTCAATTGCGAAACGTATCAGGTTATGCAGCAAAACCCGTGTAATTAATAAAGCGGCACATCATCGACAAAAACCATTTTCTCCAGCGATTTATACCACCTTGTCGTCGATCAATTAGCTATTCACAATTTTCCCATGAGAGGCGGTACATTTCTCTTGTCAACAGGTGTTGTTTCAACTCGCTCCGTTTAAAGGTAGTGTGCCAGCTTTCCTGGACCGTATGGAGTTAATGGCCCAGATAAGGAGAACCGGATTTTTAGAACTTCTCCATACCTTCAAAACTCATGGAAACGTCTTAAATTCTTCAAATTTTGAGTACCCCAGTGCGAAATTCGCCCCGACGGGTTATCGGTCGTACCCCAACCACATTTCACACCACTATGAACAATAAATGCACACACTGAAATCGCTATTACCGATATGCTCATCCAATCAAGTTTCGATAAACCCGTTCATCATCAGCTCCTGCAGTTTCGAACACGCCTGTTAGGTGGTGCGGTAGACCACGCCCAAAGCCAGGGCCCCGGTAACGTGAGGTAGCCGAGTCAGGGCAGCGTGCGCTGACCCAAGCCGGAGCCGCGCGTCCTCCCGGTGTCATGTGATAGCCCGGGGCTGCCCGCGGGGATGCGGTAGACCGCGCCCAAAGCTGCGGCCCCGGCTTGGGTCAGCGCACGCTGCCCCGACTCGGCTACCTCACGTTACCGGGGCCCTGGCTTTGGGCGCGGCTTCTGCTCATACTTTGTGGTGCAGTGGTGGTGCGTCGGGCTGCGCGCTCTGACTTCGGCCAAGAAAAATGCGTCAGCTGATCATTGTCATTTCTGCCACTTGCGTGTGGTGAAATGGGGTCATAACTTATGAGACGGCTTTTTCATATCAATTATTTTACATAAAATCATATTTCAAACCATAAATAATGTTCGACAGCCAAATAAAAGAAACAATACCAATACGGGCTTACAGTTTAAGGCTCAATATTGTGTTGTCTACGATTAGACAGCTGATAACTCATTCCCGTACGTCGTATGGTCGTAACACTAAAATGACCTTTGCTTATTGTCACAAGTGCGCCGCATTCGCGATTGTTGCCGACGCCTGTTTGCAGGTGAGCCCACTACAGTTGTTATACATATCTAAAAACCGATAAAGTTTTAGGCGAAAAAGGCACTATTCCTGGCCCATTTTTGATTTTTTTTGCGATATTAGGTAAAAACAGAAGCTTCTTATCCCAGGAAAAATAAAATGGGAAATCTTTCAAAGGCGGTACACTACCTTTAACGGTCACCTAAAAATAAATTTACTTCCAAAATCCCTCAAAAACCGCAATTTTTCAAATAAAAGTGCCCTCTCCGGTGCACGTGGCGCGTGCTATCCCCTGCATTCACACCATTCAATAGCCCGTTCAATTATGTACACGATGCTGTTTTCCCCGTGCCGGTCGGACCCCTGGTCACCAAGATATTGCACGGGGACTGGACCCGTGTCGGCCAAAATTAGCCGTTTTCGCCCGATTTCGCACGCCGATTTATACATGTAAAGTCTATGACGCGAATTTGCACTTTTTGAGCACGCGCCACGCGCTCCCTATCGACCCGATCGAGCCCAGACCCCTCAAAGGCACGTCGCGCATCCTTGATCTATAAGTTGTGCAAATTTCACCGGGCTAGGTGCAACGGTCTGGCCTGTAGTCCACGCAAAGCACCACCAAGTCGGGACCTCGGTAACGGACAGACGCACCCTCCTCAAATATAGTCTGTTCCATATCAAGCTTGCAGTTGGAGTTTCTTCGGCATATCGCTCCTCCGCTCAAGAATTTGCGTCTTAAAATGTAAGAGCTGTATATACAGAAATCACGCACTGCTTTCAGCAGGGCACTTCGGCTGCAAACTTGAAACGGAACAGAGTATAGTAATATAGATTTTAGTTAAAAGTGAAAAGGTGATTCACATCCGACAGCATGCATCTGACTGTAATATCCCTCTTAGTCTTTCCTAACCATCGGCCCTCCCCATCTAGCTCTCCCTCCATCAGTATGGCCCACCCTCACCTGTCCGCCGTGGGTCCGGTCGTACCCGGCACACAGAATGCCCGCCATCAGGTCATCCCTGTACTGGTAGCACATCTCGCGGAACGTGTTGGCCACGGTACGGACGGCCGCCGGCCGGCCCATCTCGATCTCGTGCATGGCCATCCGGTAGCTGACGATGTCGGCCAGTGCCTGGGTGTCGGCCGCGGAGCCCGAGCGGCAACAGTACACCGAGTCGGTGATACGCGTGATCTTGTTGGACACACGGTTGGCCACGTACGTGCTGGGGAGAGCGAGGAGCGTTAGCTGAGAGCGTGATTTGAATTCACGACCCAACACACGTTCCGCACGTTTATGGGCTACCCTCACTTTCATCCAATGATGTTCTGTTCCCTTGTCCTAGCACCGGGTTACACCAGCTTAACCGAGTGACACGGGCCCTCCCCAGCGTCACTCAGCGTCATATGTTCACCCAGTCGGGTGCCAGTCTCTCTTTCCCCTGCCTCCCCATCCCCAGGCCGCACCCCTCTCTCACCCGGTGGATGTCCGCGAGTCGGCGCCAATCACCACTCCGCCCGGAAACTCGGCGGCCACCAGGGTGGTCTGCAGACAGTGAAAGAAACCTCCATCAGTACAGAGTGAAACTCAGCATACAGCGTAACAGCAGACAAATGGCAAACGTGATCATCTTCTGGGGACAACTGTCAGAGTGTCCTAAACCAATTACATCTTCAGTACTGTAGACAAATAAGAACAGAATCGGGTTGTTCAACCACAGAGGCATTCTAGTTTTCATAAATGATAAGGATATTTAGCAAATTGACCTTATCAAAAAAAAACTGTGCTAAACCTGAGCTGAGCTGAGCTGCCATTGCATGGCAGGTAGCTGCATAACTGCACTGCTCTGGCCCCCACACACATCACTGACAAATAAGCTTTGGAGTGTAGAGCATGACTTACACTAACTGGTCAGAGTTACATAAAGATCAGTTTGGCATTTATTATCATTAATTTTCCCAACCATGCTAGCACAAATGCCCCCACTTTCCGTAATGGTAAGATGGCTTCAGCACACCCTCTGCTTGTTCCATTGACAGTTATGATGAACTCCATTACAAGGGTTAAGCTGTGCTGAGCCCCATTGTTGGCCTCAAACTAAAAACCTTTCAATCCCCTTAGTAGAGACTTTGATGTTCTCACTTTTGGAATGGATGTCATTGTCACAGACCAGCTGAATTAACATTCATACTTATCTGTCAGTTGCTTTGTTACTTGTTTGCTAGTTTCAGCTTTCACTTGATAAAAAAGGCAACACATCTACATGTTCCATTGTTCATGAAAATAAAATGCCTCAAATGTACACACAATGAAATGCAAGCCTAACAAGATTACCTAAGTCTTGAATATTAATCATTTCGTACACATTTACAAAATGAGTGGCTAATGTTATACTTACTCCCATGTCGTGCTCAGCTGAAAGCCACTCAGGCAGAGGAGCAGCATAGCTCGGAGTAACTTGCTGCACAGTTTCCATCATTGTCCTGAAGCAGGGATAAAAATAATCAATAACAATATCTTACATAGGTTGATTATAAAAAGTAACAGCACATTTCAACTCTTTTTTCTTGCTAATAGCCACAATAGAACATCGAAAGAAAATCAATAGGTGATATTACACTGATACATTAAAACATAAGTTTTATCAATTATCTCAAATTTTATCTATTTTATGATTTAATTTACTTGAAGTCATGTGTCTCATAATGACTTTAAAGTTTGAACAACAGCCCTGCTAGAAGACTTTTTGCATAGGTACTAACGCCAGTATTGGTAAAGCTGGCATCACTGTCAACAGAAACTGCAAGACAGGTTGTAGGTTGTGGGGTTGTGGGTTGCAGTTTTAGGTTTTGGGTTGTAGGCTGGTAGGTTGTAGATTGCTAGCAGGTAGGTTATAGGTTTGTAGGCCAGACTGGAAAACACTCGCACACACTACGCCCGCGCCATAAAGACCCTCATGCGTTGACATTCGGCGCAAGCGATTTTGCGCTGAAATTTCTGCATGATTTGCGCCGAAAGTTGGGTGTCTATTTGCGCAAAAATCAAGCCACTTCTTTCTACATAAAGCACATTTGCACATCTACCGAACAAGGCTATATCTACAAGACAGAGCGTTCCGGGGTTGAGCGTTCGAATTAGTTGATGCTTCCATGGAAACCCAATTCCACAATACGCGTAGCGCACTGTAGCGTCGTGCCGTGAAACAAGGCACATGCCAGAATTTCCAGGGACACAAAAACCGGCGGAGGGGTGTGTTCGAGACTGGTAGGCGCCAGCGAAGGCCGGGCAATGGAACAGCACTGCTGCCAGGCCATCAGCCTCTTCTCGGCACAAGGCGCAGAGCACCGCGGGGCATTGCTTGTCCGGGCACTGCTGACACACCGCGGAGGGCAGACGGCCGATCCGGTGCAGGTGCTGGAGCGATCTGCCCCAGTAGCCCCGGCCCTCGTCTGCTGTACCGAAACGGCTTCCTCTCGGTCCTCTCAGAGGATGGCGAGCTGCAGCGTGCTCCCGAAGAGTTGCTCGAATAGTGACTCGGGCCAGTTGTAACGCCATTGACGCGAGGCCGCACAATAAACCGCCGGGTCAGCGAGCGGGCGTTTCGAGGGCAGGGCGGCCGCTCGTTTTGCCAGGCCGTCCGCGCTCCCATTCACCCGAAACCTGCAGTGGGCAGGAGTCAGAAAGCCATTGCAGGATTACTTCACGACGCTCGGCGATGTACAACAAGGTCTTTTCTCCGCGCCCTGGGTGGAGGCCTCATCCGGGCGGACGCTCCTCCGCTAAATAGACTCGGGGCGGCTCAAAAGTCTGAGCACGCGACGACCAGGGGCCGTATTGGCGCCAGGGCAGGGGGCTCTCGCCCTGAACCCTCTGCAGAGCCGCCCGCAGGACGAATCCGCTGCTAGATTAACCAGCATGCCAAAAAAGTTGGTGACTGCCATCCGCGCAAAAAATCAGAATGAGGCCGCCCTGCGCAAAAAAAAAAATCAGCAGCCGTCATGCACTAAATTTGACACATGCAAAGCAATGCCGGACGTGCGCTGAAATTGTTGGCGCAATCCCGCCACTATGCTGGACATAAATTCAGCATAAAATGTATTTCTCCAGCCTAGTTTGTAGGTTGTAGGTGTAGGTTAGGTTAGGTTAGTTAGGTTAGGATAGATATGCCGCAGGTGACACCAGCTTTACTGATAACCCAATACCGACCAAAACAACTAGGTACATCATCACATTAATTTAACAGCTTCATAAATGTTTTAGGAATGTCTCCACTACCAAAACCTTAATTAACTCAAATCCAGTCAAAATTAAGGCATTTATGGCATGTAAATGAGAGAAATATGTTACAGAAGAAAAAGAATGCATTAGATCTTCTCAATCTCAATTCTCAAATCACAATGCATTAGCAAATAAACAATCACAAAAAATGAAAATATTTTCACAAAAACCAGCAACATTCAGTTGCAGCTAGGTTTCATCGGCCTCTTAGCATGAAACACAAATCATGCAATGAATTGAATGCAATTGCATTAAATTGAAATGAAATTGAAATGAAAATTGAAATGTTGATTTTTTGTTTCCGTCTGTCCCTGTCCTGATTCCTCCCAGTCCAAAATGGTTCGAATGATTTGTTGTCATGCTAGCTGGACATATGTGCTATTCAATTTATTTCAATTCACTTACCTTTATTTGAATTCCAAGATCCTACCAATTTATTGCCAATTTACCAACAATTTACGTTCAAATACACGATCACCTCCAGTCCCAAATATTTTTGGTAAGTTTACGAAGCAGACGCGCCAAAATTGTAGCAATGACACCGGAGGGAATTGATAGACGCCACAGGCAATTTATACTAAACTTTAGTTAGTGGATTTATGCGAAGTGATGTCATTAAGATATTGTAATAAAGATGATAGATAATTTCGTAATAGCTTATTTTCTATTAGTTCAAATGTATGATTAGATCAATACGCCGCTCGACTTATCACTTATGGCGTTTAATAAAAATCCCCCAAGTACTGCGGTACAGCCTACTATTAGGCGCTAACACTAGCGTCATCTATGGAAAGTAATTGAAACTACGCGTATGCTCGAGCTTTTCCGTTCGATTCTCTGCTGTGGAGATAAATGTGAGCGACCGTAGGCGCATGATGCATCTAAGGCATTCACCGTCCCATCAGTTTCCATCCTCAGGACAGTATCCACTTTTCCTCAAGCCTCTGTTCCGAGCTGGACAGTCGGTTTTATCCGACGAGGGTGTGGTACGAACAAAACGGTCCATATAGATTCACATGCCCCTTTTACACAATCATTTATTCTGACTCGCATGGTTTCGCTGACTACTGCCGCTACTAATATCAATGTCACCTGGTTACCCATGCAAGAACCACAACTCTTACACAGAAATATTAACCTCGGCGAGTGAGCACCACACACGAGTAATACACACAAGTTCGTCACGTTCTGCTCCTGCCTAAACCTTCGGTGTGCCTGACGACTGCACACTAGTTATATTGACATTTCCCGCTGAGATGGTCAAAAGAGCGAAAGTTACCCATGGGACAAAATGAGTCTTTTTGAGTCTTGAATACTGTAGGACAGAGATTCAATAACACCAACAAGAGCAACATTTTTTTCCGTATGAAAACGAAATGAAAGGGCATTTTAGCAAGCATCTTCAACGGTTTACTACATTGGTAGCTAACTACAACTTATTTACATCGACACAGATCAATCCTTATGTTTCTAATTTATAAGCTTACGAATCCCGCACTCCCTCAGACTCAGATATGTAAACCGATGGATGTCCCAACCCCGAGAAGCTTTTGAAGCATCCAAAAGAAACATTATCCCGTTTAGGAGAAACTTTTGATTAGCCTGAGAGCAACTGTGTGGTGAACAGGCAGCCTACAGTGCGAACAATGGCAACGTAACGGAACTGCTCTGGGAAGTCGTGGTCTGACCCGTGACCGGCTGTACCACTTGCACTCAGATTTGCAATAGTTAGTTGGTATCCTTAATTTAGAGAACTCATTACAGGGCCATAAAATATATAGAAGGGCTAAATATTATGGTACAGAGGCAAGGGATACGTGCTATAAAGACTTTAATCAGTTGACTACTAAAAAGCTCAGCTGACAGTGCAGTTATTTTTTCATATGAATTTGTCTCTTGCAATACTATCGGAACTCATTCGCTGCAGGGTTTAGATCTGAGTCTATCACAAGTGACATCACCTTTTGGCGCGAACGCGTGAGTAACTTGAGCTGGCCGTCTAAACGCGCGCTCGTCGCACTGTCTCTACACTGGTGACCTGCGCCACGCCTCGGTCGGCTCCCGTTTCGGCGCAGTCACAACCAGGGATGCGGAGCCGGAGCCGGAGTCGGAGCCGGAGCCGCCGGAGCCGGCATATTTTGCCCGGAGCCGGAGCCGGAGCCGGAGCCGTGAAACAATATAGCCCGGAGCCGGAGCCGGAGCCGGAGCCGCCAAAAAAGGGGGCGACTCCGGCTCCTTTTTATTTTTTGAAGAGGAAAAAAAATAATTGACCTAGCTCGGTTTGACAGTACAAGGCAGTAAAACATATGGTACTTTACTTACGTCATGGGCCATCAACTGAATGAAAAAAAGCCGAATATCCCCAGTATCCCACTGTACGCAATCAACTTCTTGTCTGCTCCTCCCCCCCCCCCCCCCACGTCTACTGCATCCCCAGAACATGAGGACCGGTCATCAAGTGACGGCCATTGTTTTCAAGCCAGTGCAGTGGACTGCGACTCCCAGCACCGTCTCTTCCCCTCCCCCCACCCCCAACCCCCCCCCCCCCCACTCCCACCCCCCAATGCAGCCGAGACTGGTGTCAGCTTACGATGGTTCAGTGAACTCCAATTCGCGGCGACTGCGTTTCTAATGCCATCGCTTCCTAGTCCTTTGTTCTGCCAGTTCTCTCCGAGGTGCGTTTGCGCGGGGACGCGGTGAGCCGGTCATGGCAAAGAGTAACGCGTTTAACCAATCCAATTTTTCTTCCACCCGTATTTAATTGATTGCATAGAGGATGTACTGAGTCGGAGCCGGAGCCGCCGGAGCCGGAGCCGCCGGAGCCGGACCATTTTACTCGGAGCCGGAGCCGGAGCCGGAGCCGCCACAACATTTCACCCGGAGCCGGAGCCGGAGCCGGAGCCGATTTTTTTCTCCGGAGCCGGAGCCGGAGCCGGAGCCGTCTGAAATTTCCACGGCTCCGCATCCCTGGTCACAACTACTCCTCACACACGATAAGCATTGTCGGTCCATCTACCCGGCCGCTGTCATTGTCCACAATCGCAGCACACACCGAAAACGCTAGTTCCGAACCCGACGCGCGCACGAGGAAACGCTGCCAAAAATAGTTTGAGCTATACTTCGACATCACTATTCGCCCTGCCATATCGCCGGAGGCGGTCCGTGAGCTCGCGACCTGCCGTAACCCTGGCTTGCCGAGACTCCACCAGAGCCTCGGAGGCGCGAGGGTCCAGTTGGGCCTACCGCTGGAGCATCACCGACGGGACCCCGTTCCGGCGCCGCGCGCTGTCGCGTCCGGAAGCTCGTCATCTCACACAACCGGGCCCGATCTTGGCTCCGATAGTCAGTCTCATCGGCCGGCCGCGTCCGTCATCCACTGCTCCGTGACGGCCGGCATCGGAGCACGCCCGGCACAGAGAGACTACAGTGATTGCACCGGTCCCAGCCGCCGGCATGCGTCGTCACCAACGCACGCGACGCGACGCGATGTGTCTACGAGAGGGCGAGCCGGCGCGGCGTGCGGGCCGCCGCCGCCACCGAGTCACCCGCTAGGCGTCCACCACTTCCATCTGGAATTTGACGTCCTCCATGTTCTCCTCCGAGTTGTGCGGCGTGTCCGTGTACTCCCTCATCTGCGGCAGGCGGAGCGAAGGTTATATAGCGTCTGCCCTCTGAGCAGCTGACTGAAGAGCCGCACGAGGCAATAGTCGTCACTCGTGAACAATGTACGGGACTCGTGTTCAATGTGAGATCGGTTGGACTGATAACATGATGTTGAGTGCGAACTGCGAAGAGGATTCGTAGAAAGTAGGTATATTTATCGCTTACATCGAATAAAAGAGCCGTCTTTCTATCGTACCTATTGTATTGTAGATAAGAAAATGAGATAAGATCCTCAGTGAACATCATACCATCTAACTAGGTTATTAATTTTGCATAATTGACAGACTGCATCATCACTAACTTCAAAATCACATTAACTAGAGCAATCGAAAATGATACAATAAAAATGAGCGCAGCAAAGTTAATATTTCAGAGTGCAGTGGAAAGCTGAAGATACTCCTTGAAGACATCAAGGGATGGCAGGTATGGATGGATCATGGATGTGACATTTTTTTACATTGCTTTCAACCAAATCATAAGTTTTTTTTCAGACAGACTTCTAAAGAAGCAATGCAAGAGGCGCAAGAGCCAAGGGATGAGACTGATAAGTTTCAAAATGAATCTAACAGACGGAAAGAGAGGCATTTTCGCCAGAGACCGCGTAGTTTAAAATCAGGTGTAGGCTATTACTATACTATCCCCTATTAGTGGCAGGCTCCTGGCTACCCCCTATTAGTGGCAGGGGGGGGGGCTGTTTACGATCCCCCCTTGATATCTCGAGATCTAACGGGCCGATTTTCAAAATTCAAACGGCATTCGTCTCGATTTCGCTCAACGAGATCTACATTTCTAAAAAAAAATTAAAAAATGTCAATAGGGGGGTAGAGGGGGGTAAAAACGGGCAAATTGCAGATACATTTTAGACTGTTTATCACGGCCAGGTTTCTGAACCAATCTTAACACAACTTTTGCCGATCGATAGAGAATGAACCAGGAATTCACATGGATCCTAAAAATATGCATTTTCAAAAATCATAGGCGGATACAGATCATTGAGATTGGGGGTACACAAAAAGTATAGTAAATAAGGTTTTTGTTGGTACTGTTTCTAAAAAGGGTGGCAATGGTCTTGTTATGTTACAATTTTCTTATGAGAGAACGACTAAAATTGTATTGGTCATGCATAGGCGGTGTCAGGGCACCTATGTTGGGAGGTAAAAAATAACCCCCCTTTTTTGGACGCCTGGATCCGCCTATTATAGCAAAAACGTGTCAAAAGAGGATGCACAATAACTTTGTATATGTTATCACATGATACCTTTCATTCACTGTTCGTAAAACTGGTGCAGCATCGTGATCTTCGCCCAAATGACTCGCTTCACGAATAGGACCCCCATTTCCCAGTGCTCTGGAGCCGCCCCTGGTAAAGTTATGAACTTGAAATTTTCAGGGAATGTGCCCAATTTAGTTTTAGGAAAAGTCAGAAAATTTCAGCATCGTAGCTTCAGCGGTTTCGGAGATATTCCCGAAAAACCTGAGGGGTGGATAAAAACAACCCCCCCTGCCACTAATAGGGTTAAAGGGACACTCCCACCTTAACATTAGTTTTGATTTGAGATAGCCAAATTGGTGGCCATGGCCTGCAAATACCGGTTTGGGCACTCACAACATCGACAAATGCTTTAATTCGGAGATATGGAATTTCAAACTTGCAGTTTTCGGATTCTAAGGGGCTAGTGCATTGGTATGCCCCCTTAGAATTTGTGACGTCAGCGGAGATCTAACAATTTTTAAATCTTTTACTAAAACGTTTGGTAGCACGCGGTGGTATATGCTGCTTTGCGCGCAACAAATGCCGCACTTTCAAATAAAGTCGCTAGGAACAGCGGAGATCCCAAAAAGTAAACAAAAGTAAAAGTCTAATATCTTGAAAACCGGTGAATATTTTTCGATGAAATTTGGTAGATATTCGTTTTTGCTCTTTCTGAACCGAGTGACATCACTTTCATGCCAATTCATTAACTTTTTTGAAGGTGGGAGGGTCCCTTTAAACTCGTACAATTCCTGATCGCTGCATTATTCGGAGCCGTCTAAGATAAAGAAAGCCGGACCTAAAGCTCTTTAGGCATGATCACAGCGACCTTTACTGAAGTTGTTGTGACTTTTACCGCAGTCTAATTGACGCCATTCAGCAAGAGTTTGTCGAGCGCAAACATGTCGCAGAATCCGGGGCCTGTGATTCTGAGAAGTGTGACGGTGTCGTTGTCTGGTTGGCAGCTCCCGTCAGCCGGCGATGGCAGCCCCGGTTCAATCGACTTCCCGCGGCGCGGCAGCCCCGGGGCCATTGATCCCCGCTCGGGGGGACGCTGCAGCCCCTGACATGATCCGCCGCTGTGACCACGGACGGTCTCAGAGTCACTAGAAGCCGGTACCGGGACTACACTCACAGGACGGGGCGTCATAACGCTGAGCGGACCCGGACAGGGAGATTATACTGGGGAGTTCTCAGAGAAGGATCATTGTATTTTATAGTGATCGGGGCAGGTGGGCCGATGATCTGCTGTTATTCAAGTGTAGCGTTTTTGTTTTTTTTTTTCTCAAATAATAGTGATGAGGGTATTGAGTAGTATTGACTGTAAGGTAATAAGATTGATAACCGATTTCCTTGAGCATGTATAAATTGATGAAGTTCCGTTGACGTAAAATGAATAAAGGACAGTACCTTACCTAAATAACGAATCTTATGAGAACGGTTGTCGTGTATACTGTCTGGTGCACAGTGCACACTGAATAAGAAATCAACGTCTTGGCACACACACTTAATCGTAAAACTAATGCTACTCATGCAATGCATAACTGAACTAGCGCATGGAAATCAGTGGAAAGCGCAACTTAATATACCTACTCGTGGACCATGTGTATCTTAGTCAGCAGTTGGGATGTGATGGCTCAGTCCGAATACCTACAAGATGTCTAGCAGTGCGAGAGCATAAAACAAATTGTAAGGTAGCAGTCACATCGCACAGCCAGGCCACGACGATACACGATCTAAGCGGAACATGCGGCGTGAAAGACAAGCCATAATTGCGAGGACATGAACGGTCTGGACACTTACATGGGAAGTATCCTTGGGTCATACTGTTAGATAAAAGGTATAACCAGAAATTAGTCATCTTTTTACATTTCTAGTTGCCGATCGGCTTTACAATACAGTGAGATATTAAAACGAGAACTTAGATTAGCTGTTATAGCAAGCGGTTTAATATATCAATACATCACATGATATGAGCGCATATTTAGGTATTCCTATAGAGTATAAGAGATGACCGCATATAAACGGTTGACCTCGTTTGTAAGTAAATATTGGCTGTTATGTTTTTGGAAAACAGATTATTACCAATAAACGGTGAGTCATTTCAAGTGCCTAGAACTGCAGTTAATATTATTTGATTCGTACGCCTTAAATGTAGATAGCACGTTGCGTATGTAACGTGCTTATGTAAAACAAGGGACAGTTATGTTATGAGCATTCACTCCCGTGCTCTTTTTGTGCCCAGGTACCTACGGCAGATGGGTTTGAGTGGCCGCCCAGCACGCACTCTGGTGCGAGACAGCCAACAGGCGGGCGTGTTTGTGTACATATGAGTGATTAGTAACCACGCTGCTAACCACAGGTAACCAGTGGTTACTGGCCAGACGCCGTGTCGCAGTGCGGTGCTGGTCCGGCGTCAGTGAGCACACAGACACACGCAGTCCTACCCCTTCTCATGCATCTGACGACCGCTTTGACATGTCAGTCAGCTTGGTCCAAACGTACGACTGCGAGTCCTGTCTGGCCATCGGCTGGAAAACAGACAGCCAGCTAGAGCCGCCGTGGTGCAAACCGTACGCAAAGAAACCCATTTCCATCCAGTACTAGCAAACACGGACTTTCCACTTTATGAAAATGAATGTTTTAGTTTTTACAGGCCAAGTGCTGGAAAGATGCCTTAGCCATGATGCCTCCTGTCTAGGAAAATCGTATATAAATTGGGACATTTCTTGGCTATAGTGGAAGTCATTCAGGCGGTCGATAAAACACCATTTCTCATGATCAAGTAATGGAACGCCATGTGTCAAAAGCTAGTGAGATTTTACCGTAAGTACCTGATCTCAGCAGTCGCCAGGGATGGGCAAATCGTTTCAAAACAGTAGCGGACAGCATTCTGGGCGCCGCCACATCTGCACAAAAAGACTAACAGAGCTCCCTTTGGTCTCACAGCTTTTCTCCTTTTCCATTTCCCCTTTTTTACTCACGGGCCCACCCAGCACCGCACCGCACACTGGGTATGCACGCACACACATTGAGAAGGGGCCGGACAGCTAATCCTTTCGCTACTGCTCACGCACCTCTGCCTCGCGGACCATGCCGGTGGTGGAGGTGGTCGTGTCTATCCGTTTGATAGCCGCCTGGTGGATGTCCATGTCAACCTTGACGCACTGGAAGCGGCGCATCAGGAACACGATGGCGATGGGAGCGGTGCCGGCCAGCATTAGTAGCACAGCCACGGCCATCACGGCGGGCGGGTACTCGACCTTCTGGGGCTCCGCCTGAGGCCGGACAGAGAGGGACAAGGTCAGAGGTCATACTGACGTGCCATATCTCACAGGTGACACTGGTTACTTACCTCATCACGTTGATTGTTACGAGACAAGTTGTCAGAATTTCGTATTGCAGAACAATGCATGAATAATTGCTAAAAGTTATTCGGAAACCGTCTGTTAATTCAAACGTTACTTGACTTGAAACTCCTATCAAAACCAAAACGTCGTTTTAGCCGCTGCTGCTGTGAAAATCCCAGCTGTCTATTTTACGATTATATACTGCGAGCGTACCAGTGTGGAGTTCCATATGGTGTAGGTAGGCGGGTTCATAATCTGGGTCACGACGGTTGCCGAAAAGATGACGATGATGAGTATCGGCGCCACGAAACGCCAGCAGATCTGCCAGTACAGGCCCGGACGGCTGCCAGTCATGTTCTCGATGTCGTCACAGAACCTGCGCAACGAGAGGCGAGTTCGATGTTAGACGGGAAATGGTGTGATGAGCTGAGATTAAGTGAATGAAAAGTCACCAGAGCGATCGCTCTATGTGGCTAAAAGGTACCACTCACCTCACTACAACATTGAAATGACATCTACTTACATGAAACTCACTTGAAACTTTACTTTGTCATTCGAAATGTTTTTGTTTGGTAACGTGTCATGACAGTAAATTATTACGGATCGGTGTGCCACGCGTCACTCACTTTTCATAGCCATAAACGTAAGTAACGACGACGATCTCAAAGAAGCCGATGACGACGAGTCCATAGGTGCCGGCAAACGCGTCAAACATCTTCAGCCAGTACTCTCCAGCGCCGGTGCAGAACACGAGACCGATCAGGAACGACACAATGCACATGACACCTGAAAAATATACCAGACGCATGGCATATGCAAATCACCACACACTTATAAACCTGAAACGAATAAGACACCAATCACACCCATCAGGGACGAAATACATATGACGCCTGATCCTACGGAATGACTTCCGACACATGCAACTGACTCTATAACATAAATTAAACGTTAGAGAAATCTGCTGCGTTATTTTTCGTATTTACTGACCGGTGAGGACTTCCTTCCTGACGCGGATGTTCATGTCGAACATGTTGGTGATGACGCCCTCCATGGTGCCGAACTGGGAGCCCAGTCCGAGGGCCAGCAGCATCATGAAGAAGGCCACCGACCAGAAGTTGGAGCCGGGCAGCTCCACGATCGCCTGGGTGAACACGATGAACGCCAGACCGGTACCCTCGGCAGCCTGAGGGAGGTCAGGTCAGGTCATCTGTAAGGTCAGGTCGGGTCAGGTCAGGTCAGCCATCAGGGCAGGCCAGTCGCTAGATCAGATCAGGTAACTATGGCGGGAGATAAGCGTTCCATTTAGCGGCATGAGATAAAGCCCAATCACAGTTTTCCGGGAACACTGCTAATGACATATAAAAGAAATAGTTACTATGGACGTCAAACCCCTTGAGACCCCACTTTTTTGCGATAATTTTTAAATGCGTCAACTCTCGTTGACAATATTCTGGCAATGTGTGTTTCAGAACCTGCCGAAACTTTTATTACTAAGGTATTTTGACGCCAAACGATTATGAAAGGTACTTCTCATTCACTCGTAATGTTAAATTTCACGGAACGAATCTGCTGTTTGGGTAGAGGCTACGCGCTCATGGGGCGGAGCCACGTAATGACGTCAGCGCTAAGCTCCGCCCTACCCCTCCGGCGCTCCTTGCCCGGCGACCGGTCACTCGCGTCTCTCGCTCCATTCAGGCTTGATGGTGGGCGGTAGCTGGTAGCGGTATCGGGCGCTGGTAGATGGCATTTAGAGCAGATGGCGCTGGTGGCGGGGCTCGAGTATGGCCGAGCGCAAGCCTCTGCCCGGGCCTGAATTGACCTTAACATTACGAGTGAATGAGAAGTACCTTCCATAATCGTTTGGCGTCAAAATACCTTAGTAATAAAAGTTTCGGCAGGTTCTGAAACATGCATTGCCAGAATATTGTCAACGAAAGTTGACGCATTTAAAAATTATCGCAAAAAAGTGGGGTCTCAAGGGGTTTGACGTTCATAGTAGGTTCCTCCGATTTACAACTAAGCGCGCCTTTTACAAACGACATCAGTCGAGCTTGTTGATGGTTTCTATCACACAAAAATCCCTTTGCGCGGGTCAACAGGGCCGTAGCCTGCATCGATCCGCGATCCAGCTCGCCATCGCCTGCCCGACTGGGTTAGTGGGCCAGCGATTAGCTGGTTGCCGAGTGCCAACTCATAAACACGCCGATAGGCAGCCCTAAAGGACTCCGAAAACGGCGACAGAGGACCATTTAGACAACCTGAGATTTCTGCACAAGGTATCATCGTACAGAGATGTAGAAGGACATGAGGCACGCACTAGTGATTTCATAAAAGTTACACGGAAATTTTGTGAAGTAATTAGTAAGTGCAAGGTTTATCACGTCATCGCCGAAGTGCCCAATACTTCAGTGAAAAAGGAGCATATAAAAGGGAACTTTCCACTGAGATAATATTCATAACGAAACGTGTGTCTATTCCGCACCTGGTCAAGAGTCTTGGTGAGGTCGCAGTGCTGCAGGCCCATCTCCAGCTGAGTCTCGTTGGTGAAGTCGTGGTGCTGCAGCATGTCGGTGTACGCCTCAGCCGACATGTTGACAAAGAACTGCTCCGGGTACAGCACCGACAACTTGTCGACATTGCTGAGGCAGAGGTCAACGTGTGAGCGGTGTTTGCGTCGGCAAAAATAGGCCTGGACGCAATTCATATAACTACCGATCAGCAAGCATCAACTGGAAACCCTCAGACAACATACGATACACCGCAACTGGCCTCCATTACATCTCGGTGCCTCCAAAAGGTCACTGGCTCTAACGATATATTGCAGTTGGCGATTACAACAGAGAGCACTTTACCAAATTGCCCGTATACTCTCTGCCTGTCTGACTCACTGGGCGATGCACTTGTGGTAGTTCTGAACCGCCTTGTAGCCGAGCACGGCGAAAATGTCCACCGCTCCGAAGGTAGCCGTGAACACGGTGACGATGCACATGAAGACGGCGTCCTGTTTGCAGTTGTTGTTGACCGGGTTGTAGGAGGCGAAGGCGATCAGGGAGCCGAAGCCGACCGATAGCGAGTAGAACACCTGTGTGGCTGCGTCCATCCACACGGTCGGGTCGATCAGCTTCTCCATCTGTGACGACGGACGGGAGGGGGGGGGGGCAGTGGGAGGTTATTAGCTTGATGTTTAGTTAAAATAATTTGAGTATATACCGCTCCATCTGAGCTTTTGCTCCTTCCACTTTCTAATGCTTAACTACTGTCTAATGTCTATAGCTGTTATTGATGAAGCAAAACATACGGATGTCAAAATCCTTCCATCAAAAAAAAAAAAAAATCTAAACACTTCCTGCTTCCCTCACGGAAGGCCGAAATAACGCATAAAAATTATTTCAGGGACTGCTAACCCAATGACCGCGCGACGTATTTCTTACGCGTTGGATTACATTATCGAATGTAAATTTGTTCCCCCTCAACCGCATCTCATTCGACGCGCCGAGCACATGTTAGAAAAATCATTATTTTTTAATAGACTATGCATACTGAATCTCATGTTGATGTGGCTCTCGTCAATACAACGGATAAAATTTGCATTGCAATTTCCGGAGCGTGGTCCACGTTCTAAGCATGATTACTTTTCTAAGAAATTCGTCGTTCAAAACACGAATATTACTGCATAAGTAGTAAGTATGTACTCGTAAGTACATCCTCAGACCCATCTGGTCCCGACCCTTGCCATTTACTCACAATCTCTGCCTAGTTTCCGACCTCCAGTCAAGGCCGTTTTATCTAGACTACCAGGGAGCATCAGTCCATCTCCAAAGTTCCGCAAAGTTCAAAGCAGGCCGTCTGGGGTTCCACATAGACAGCCGTGCGCAGCGCTCAACTTTTGCGACTTGGCTGATGTCACCGCGCACCATCCGGCATCACTATTCCGTCGGCACATCACAACGGGAGAGTGGTGGGTACTATAGGCAGCGGGCGGAGCAGCGTGCGTACACAGGTCGCGATCAATGCTGCCACCGCCGTGAGTGGAGGCGTGCACCCGACTCACATGGGATCCGGGGGAGTTGTGAGAGTAATACTCGAGCTAGTAGAGGCGGAGGGAGGGAGGGCGAGGGGGGGGGGGTTGAAGGGCAACATCCGGGACAGGTTAGCAGGAAGTCGGTCGAACGATGTGGATTAGGAGGGGCGGGCGCGAGCTTGAATTTCGTGAGGTGACAGCCAAAACCTTCCGGAGAATGACACCTTCACGTGGATATGGTGGCTTACAAAGGTCGCATGACAAATCATAGCTATTAGCTACCATTTCCGCCTCGGGTGAAATAGCGAATAGCGATCCTTTCAGGATAAGTGGGTGCACAGATCCACTGTGCCGTTCGATGGGCACGTATCTCTAATCCAGGCCTGTCCGCTTGCCGGGCAGTGTGTCTGAGCGCTTTGGCAGTGTGCTCAGGCGGCGTGGCAGGCCGGTCGGCCGCCGGTGACACTCGCGTCGCTGGCATGACGCCGGTAAATATAGCCCCGCGCCAGACACGTGCCTCTTCGTGTACCCACACGGTCAGCAGAGGGCGCCGTCGCGCCGGCCGAGAGGAGTTTTGGGGCGGTTTTTGTGATGGTTCGTCCGCCACCGGCTGCCAGAGACAGTCCCTGAGGTGCCAGGATGACAGGGACAGGGCGGTTTTTCAGTGGCCGTCAGAGGTCAGGACTCATGAGCTTCTACCGAAAGCTGACGATTTGCAGTCATGAGCAGATAACTATTCCACGCTTGTAACTCAATCACACATGTCATGGTTGCCAGAGGACCGAGGTGATTGCTTTTTGTTCGTTTACGTTACCTTTGGTGTGAAGAGGTGTTTGAGTCCGACACCAGCTCCGGGCAGTGTCACAGCTCTCCCGAAGAAGATGATCAGGATCAGGTACGGGAACAGAGCCGTGAAGTAGACAACCTGAAAATGGCACCGCAGGAGTTTTCGTAATCGTGCAGTTCCGGGACTACACGAAATCATACGATAAGAGAACCTAGGGCATTATGAGGTAACGTAGAGACATTCCATGGTATAAACCGATAGCTCGAATGTTTATGGCTATGAAAACTATAGTACGGAAGTTACATATAGCCTCTGATACCGTTTACTGTAAGGGTATTTAATGAATGCTATAGCGTAACGAAAGGTAACACTTTGATATAACGTAACATAGACCTCTGTACACCTACACCTGACGTACAGAGGTCTATGAACGTAACTTTTACTTTATCAATATAATGCAATCAGTGAATGTGAGCAAGAGACACGGTCCACTTTGATGTTCCAGCATTACTTTCCGCTGATCCGACCATCAGCAAACCATGCCAGCATTCCTTTCTTATTATAGGCTTTTCAAAAATGATAAATATTTTTTACATATGCTTTATACCCGACCGACTCACCTTTCCCGAGGACTGGATACCACGCATGATGCAGGCATAGACGAGCACCCAGGAGAGCAGCAGGCAGAGCGCCATCCACCATTTGATGCCCTCGGGCTCATCGATGGCCGACGAGGCGTCCAGGGCGTTGCGGTACCAGAAGAAGGCCGTCTCGGAGGACATTTCGCACTCGGGCACCACGGTGCCGTTCGGACCCGTGGTGGGACAGAAGGCGTACGGCAGCGGGCTCTGGTAACGACAGATGGGCGGGTAATGAGATAGCGAGTCGGGAAATAGGTACGTGAGGGTGGTCGTAGGGAGTAGGGACAGTGCAGGTCATGCGATCATTCATCGTATAGAAGACGGGCAATTGTATTCAGTTGGATAACATTTTGTTTTGCATGTGTTGAATATTATCAGCAGTAAACATATCGAATAAAAGCAATGAATTTGACCTTCTGCAAAAAAGCAGCTAAAACGCTTTATGACCTTTTTCAAATTCAAAGTTACCCCATTGTCTAGCTTGAGAGCTAGGATGCTAATGATATTTCACAAATTATTTGGTAGACTCATTCAATGCGACCGGAAGCCCAAAACCAACCGGTGGAATGTGCCGGCATGTTCTGCGTGACCTACAATGCACTTACTCCAAATAGTTTATAAATCGTCTCAATAGTCAAGTGCCATTTGGTCATGAGACTTACTGTATCTGCAAACCATGTTAGGAATTGCAGAACGTTTCAATGATTATACTAAAGCAAACATGAACATCTGGACCACTTCAGTGCTACCATATACATAATTTGACGTTTTCTGTGACTGCAGTAACGTAAGGTTAGACACGTGATGGCTTGGTCCAGTGACAAGCGCATACACATTATCAAATAAACATGCATTATTCCCCACAATCTTAAAATTCCAGTCGCTTCGCATGTCGACTTCAGCTTCGCTATCGGAGCTACATACATGCAGGTGGCAGAGTTTGACCGACGCGTTTTGCTGCTGAAGTAGGTGTTCTCGAAAAATGAATTGACAAATACATTTGGATTTATTCGGATGTTTAATTGTTCAAAGAAGGCATTAAATACAACAATAATGTATTTATCAGCAATGTGTTATGCTTTTCTTCCAAAAATCCCTTCTATGACGCTGCCGACGTACCGTGAACGAGTTGAAGAAGTAGTAGAAGCACCAGGCGATGATCATGTTATAGTAGAGGCCGACCATGAAGGAGACGATGGTGGCGGCCACACCGATGCCGGCCGTCCACGGGTGGATGATGTTCCAGACTCCGAGCGAGCCCTGCCGCAGCCGCTGGCCGATTCCGAGCTCCACGAGGAACAGCGGCGCGCCCTCCAGAACCATCATCAGCACGTACGGGATCAGGAACGCGCCTGTCGGACACCACAGACGAAAGCTGAGTATCACAGGTAAGGATTAGCACCTGAGTAATAGGATTGGTGAGATTTATGTGGTAATACAGCAGTGGCAGTGGACACGAGTGGTCCTCAGGCACTGCATTTGTGCATGTAAATATGCTAAAATAATGAAAAGAACATCAGCACTACAGCATTTATCACAGTTTCGATCATCTTATTGTTTCAAACCGCCTAGCCTCTGTGATCTGACAGCTGTTCGCATTAAGTGCCAAAACATACCAGTCAAATCAGGCTCGCTGGGGAAGGGGATGGAGGTATCAGGGAGGGTACAGCTGTGTGAGGGTGTGAGTCACGTAGACCGTCGGCGAGGGTGATGTGCGGATCGATAACAGAGTACCGGTGGGAGCCACTGCCCGCTATATTCAGGGAGGACAATGGGAACATCAAAAGTCGACAGCGTACGCGCAGGTGAACATCAACCAACCGATAGCATTGTATAGACAAAAATGTCAGATGGGTTAACACCGATCTTCCTTGTCTTCCATGAATCATGGCAAAGTGCAATTAAAAAATGATGTTCCACGGCTGATCTATGACGGCTAAGTAGTTCACTGTAAACTTTTAACACTGTTAGGAGCGTAAAGTTCCATCCGGTAATCCAGCTTATATGAGAAAGGCGATGCTGTTACTGACGTTAAAAAATAAACCAGTTAAAACTATCCTGATGTTGACATAAATACAGGAGCGCTTATGCCTGAACTATTTGCCCTTATGCTTAAACGTAGCTCTAAATTGAAAGACCATAACTACTTCCATGGTAACAAGTGGCATATCGCCACATGTTGTTCGACCTTCAGGGTGCAAAGAGGCTGCCAGAGGGATGCCGAATCGAGTCCAACTGACTGACTGGTATTTTTAACCGGGGTGCTGGCTCCAGATCAACGATAATAGAGAAGAAGTTGGGCCCCCGACTCGGCTATCCTCCCTCACATCTGCAGTCGTTTTTGCTATGGTAAGCCGCCGAGCAGTGCTGCAATGGTGTACCAACGTCTAAAGAGGTGCCAACGCCAGCAAGCACTAACTGATGGTCAGCAATTATCGGGCTGGCTGAACTGGCATGTCGAATATTCCATGAACATGATAAAACGCAGTGCAGCTAACTATGTCCATCGGCATGAAATTATTATTATGATAATCGCGCGTGTATATAGACGTATGCGTATGAAATGGAATGCATATTTTATAATTGTGACCAATAAACACAAAATGGCGCATATTTGGCGGTGTCCAGTTGCAAAAATAAAAATATGCAGCTGCAATGTTGTCGTTATCCATACACTCAAAACTTTTTTACTACCTCCTGGAGGGTTCATTTTCATCAAACCCGCAAGATAAGAGTATATTGAAAGGGTAACTCGCTGCAACCATTATGTGCATAGTAACGGCACGTGGTTAATATGAACTTATTCGCCAGCGAAGAGTATTATTACCATGTAAATATCAATATTACTCTCGCGATCCAGAACATCATGAAAACTCTTTCCTTCTGGGTATCGTGACTCGTGTACAGATAGTCGTTTCATGCGTGGATCTTGTTTACCCTCGTGAAGATGATATTTGAAATGGAACCAATCAGCCAATCAGAAACGAGATCGGCCGTTTGCGGTTTGAAGGCCGCGCGCATCTGTCAGTTTTCGGCCGTTGGTCTCCGAGAGAGGATGTGTGCAGTGTCGGTGCCGCGCGGCGTGGCCGTTGGTGATTGTGCTTGTGTGCTGTTCATCACCTATAGAGCCTCTGTGGACATTTTGTTGTAAGTACCGATGTGCTAGAGCATTGCGTGCCGTTGAGTGGTGCTAATTTGACCTGGTTAACAGGACCCCGTGCACGGCCACGTGGCCTAGTGTTGTGAGTACGTACATTAATTTTGTTGTGATACTACAAGTTTATGCATTTTGTTGGTGACTTTGAAAAAGACTTGTATTGTAGTGATCCAGTCTCATTATCTCACGCAGACGGGCGACCACCCAGGAACGCCGTCGCTCACTTCAAATATTGTGCGCTGTGCCTTATCCAATATGAGGGCGCTGAATGTCTTGTAGGTATCCATATTCAAATTGCATTCAAGTTGTATCGTGGTGTTTATTTATCGCTTATGCATTGCTGAACGCTTTGTATAAATTCGTATGAATAAGTGAAGAGTCTCACAATGTTCATGGCTGGTGTGCCCCTCGTATTGTTTGTACGGAAGCCAAATATACATTGTTTCTCTTGAAGCATGTTTTTTTAGTTGGTGAGCTCCGGTTAACAGAAGCTTCGTGAAGCTTCTAAAGGAAGCGTCTGTGAGTCTGTTACCATCCTCTGGGGGGTTTACACTAAAGGAAAGAGTAAACATTACCATGTGACAAAGGGTAGGCCAGAAGAATATACTCTCTGTAGGAGGGTAAAGCACAGAGAAGATGATGCGTTACTCCAAAGAAAAGAGTTCCGTTAAAGATTTACCCTTTCAAAGAGTGTAACCCAAAAAATGTTACACTCTAGACAAGAGTAAATCAAAAGAGTTTACCATTCAGAAGATGGTAAAAAACGTCTGTGTGTCATGTTACCCCTCCCTGGCGAATTTACTCTTCATGAAAGAGTAAAATTTACCATCTGGAAGGTGGTAAAAAACGTCTGTGTGTCAAGCTACCATGCTATGGCGGGTTTACCCTTCAGGAAATGGTAAAAAAAGTTTTCAGTGTATGCAGCTGCTACAGCTACAAAAAGGATGACTAATATAGCCCTGAATTATGGCAGTTTTTCTATGACATTGCACTGATAGCCAGTGTAGATCGTGCGCATTGTTCCCAGGCTGTCCTGCGTGTCACCCACCGATCCCGTCCGTTTACGGCGCGGCGCGGCCCGGTTACCGGCATGCTGTCCCGCCGTGCTAGTGCGTGTTGCGGCACAGCCTACCTTTCAGGCGCGCGCCGTGCGGAAAGGCATGGAGCGTTATGCCTAACAGCGCGAGTTCACACAATGCACTGCATTTTGTGGGTGCTTGGGGGACCGTCACTGCCTGGTGCACCTCATTTCTTGCCACAAACCAATGTTACTCATTATGTTTGCCGGAAAATATCAACTTACTGTAATCAACATGCCACCATACTATCAACAAAACCTAACTAGCAGTCAGAACCGACAAGCATTTCTGTGGTGACACCCGCATGTGGGATAATGCAAAGGTCGACTCGACTCCGGCTGGGTCCGGTTCCATCCAGCTCCTAAGAAGCGTCATGTGTTATCTGAGAGAGGAGACGTGAGACGGCCACGGCAGATAATGCATCGGGATCAGAGTTGCTTCCACGTAAAGCTCCGTGCAGGATACCAGGCGAAACCAGTGGTGACTACTGACTAGTAACTACGCTAGCGGGGCTGTGGGTCTGATCCCCAGCAAAGCTCCGGACAACACCGGTCCAGTCTGCTTCTGAAGCTCGGTTCCCACCTCAGCCAGACACGAGATCACTCAGAAATCACCATCGGATCTTGTATCCGGATATACCGAGTACGGATACAGTTGGAGTATCGACTCAGCAGTATCAGATATACGGTACCAATCTCCGATCAGCAGCCATGCATCAACGGCAGGAGACGCTTAGAAATTAGAATTCGGCCCAACTACAGCTCTGGTGTCAGTCAAATTTGCAGCCACTGGCTGCACTTGACCGTACTAGACCTGTAGGTCTAGTACGACCACGAGTAGGGCCTAAAAACGACCGCAAATACTGCCGTATAGTGAGACCCTAAGTACGACCCCCCCCCCAAGCACGGCCCTATTACACCCAGGAATGCGGCTGTCGGCTGCCTGGGATGCGGCCCGTCCGACCTCTCTGCAATGTTTACCCAAACTGACCGCCCCCGGCGTGTCTGCTCGATAGCAGAGTCTGCCAACGGGGACCGATCTGGACGGTCGGACGGGCCGCTGAGGGCACGCTGCAGCTCCACAGTCCAGCACGCCCGGGTGGCACGCGCGAGCCGTCTGCGAGGTCGTCTGGGACGCGGCCTTGCAGTAAAGTACACGCATATTGCCGATTATCTTGTCACTATCATAACCAGAACGACCTGTTCATGTAACTCAAGCTTGTCGACCATGAGAATGATATCAAATTGCGACAATATTCTAAACACTGGGCGTCGCTGGCTGGCCATGGGATTCAACGGTCACGCTGTTGAGCTCATGTGCTCCACGAGGCGCCCCGGAGGGTTTACAGGCGTGCCGGCCGGGCAGCAGGCCAGCCACTGGCCGTGGGCCAGCTCCCGGGCGGCGTGGTGCGGTCTCACACGCCTGCTGCCGCGAATCTCGGCCAGGTCAGCATTGTGCTCGGTGGCTCACCGGTGCAGACCAGCCACCACAGGCCGGTGGGAGCCCTGAGTCCAACGGCCTATCCCTCCGCGCCGAAGGCTCGTGACCCTTCGAGAGGGGTCACGTGATGAACTATAATCATTACCTCAAGGTACATGTGGATTAATGAATGTGAAGATGTTGTAATTAACCAAAGTTAAGTTAAAAACTTTTAAGATTAAAATCACAACGTTGATCATTAGATGATTGACTTAAACACAAACTTGCGGACATAACTGGTGACATGTAGTTACACTATCACTCGGTTAGATCACAAGAGGTAAAATTGTATCTTTCAATGCATGCTGACGATTGGCGAATTGAAACCTCAGCGTCTGTTGAGCTAACAACAGACGCTGAGTTGCGCTTGCTGAAATGTTGTGATGCATTCCGTGCTGCGATAAATGCCGACTTACAACAAGCCCATAACAAACTTACAAACAATTTTTGTCCATCTTTCCATATTCATATTCAATAAAAGTGTTTGTTGTCGTTGTTCCTGTTGTTGTATTTGTATCCACTGACTCGTCCCGCCAAGTACCGACCTGCCCCGCCCCTCTAATCTCAGTGCTCGGCCCAACTGGCTGCTGGCAACACACATGTGCCCCCCCCCCCCCCAGCCAGCAGAGGGCTAATGATGCCGTCTCTGAGTAGCGACTGGCAGAGACCCGTGATTGAGCTGGCGCCCAGCGCCCGCGCCCGAACAGCTCCGTTCCCCCTCCCAGAGGACACTGAAATATGCACAGCGGCGTGCATAAAACGAATCGGTGAATCATTTAGGGACTATCTCAGTCCACTACGGTTACCAAGTGCAACTAGGTTCTATATTATTCATACTAAATGCAGACTTGTGACAGCTCAAGAAAAAAGTGAGCTCGCTCAGCTCAATTCCGTTTTATCCGCTCCCGCTCAGCTCCCGCTCAGTTAAACACGGCTCAGCTCAGCTCACGCTCCGCTCAAACCGGCTGTGCTCCGCTCACGCTCAGCTCAGCTCAGCTCAGTTTCCGCTCAGCTCAGCTCAGTTTCCGCTCAGCTCAGCTCAGCTCAGTTTCCGCTCAGCTCAGCTCAGCTCAACTCAGTTCCCGTTCAGCTCAGCTCAGTTTCCGCTCAATTCAGCTCAGCTCAGTTTCCGCTCAGTTAAATTCACGCTTAGATCGTTCAGTCGTTCTTTTTAAATCGGACATGCTTAACCCTCGCCCGTATAGGGGGGGGGGGTCGAACGGACCCCCCTCTGTTTTTCGCAAATAACTCGCGTAAAAAACGGCCGATCGCGACGAAACTGTCAGTACCCTCGCGATAATCAATTTTACACATATCCTGAAAATTTCATGACCCTGACCCTAATGACCTTTGACCTGTGACCTACTTTTCGAGACCATGTTTGGCCGGAATCGCGATTCGGCGTATGTCGGCTCGCATTAGCCGCGCGTTAGCAGTCTTTTTGTGGTTTCAAGCGTTCAAACATGGCCGATATGATGTTGCTCCCATGCATTAGGGTGGGTGTCAAGGTCACCGGAAGGTCAGGTCAGGTCATTGACCTTTGATGACCTCGGTTCACTTTTTCGAGTTTTACATGTTTCTAGGCTAGTTTTTGGAGCTGAATTCGAATTTAGCAACCATTTGAACATTTACGAAGCAGTTTTGGTGCCTTCGTAACATGTTACGAAGCTGTCAGAGGCTACTACGAATACCCGGCAAAATCCTTACTGGTTGACCTGACCTGACCCGACCTCAATGCATAAAGACATCATCAGTGATCATAACTAACATGATATTCGTGATCAGCACCCCGAAAAACCCCATAGCAGCCACGTTTTACGACGTTCTAACAGGTCCCGATTTTCCCGACTTTTGGGTCATTGACCTGACCTGGAAGGTCAACCGATAACCTAGGACCTTAAAATTGGGTATCATCGGCTTCCTCTCGTCGCGGGCAGCACGCTCGTTTTTTCCGCGAAGCTCTAGCTCGATCAGGGGCGAAACGGCAAGGGGGGTCCAACGGACCCCCCCCCCCTTATACGTTCGTGGCTGGAAAAACACCAATACGGGCGAGGGTTAAAAAACAGACCAACTCTTGGCTCATAAGTAAGTCTCCTCTAACAAGGGGCGAGGCAACTTACACAATGGGCAAAAGAGATAAGCTCATTAAGACCTTGAGACTTTGCGAGTCGTGCGTCTACTTGGACTCAGACTATAGTTACATGAAATGGACTGTTCTTGGCAGTGTTATCACATGTTATCAGAGTGTGCACCCGCGATGTTAACATAACATATAAGTTCAAAATATACGAACGAAAAAAGTCTGGACGAAAAAGTTTACAGACGAAAAAATGTACAGACGAAAAAATGCCAGACGAAGAAAAGTCGGACGAAAATCTGCGGACGAAAATCTGCTAGACGAAATAAACGCCATGGAATCATCTCAACTAGGCTGTGTTTCACGGCCGAGAGCAGCACGCCCACGCCGCCATCCGCTCTTGGCACCCTGCCAGGAGCTGACGTTACATTTTGGGGTAGTGTTGGAACTTGGAGATAAGAGTTTGTTTATATCTCCATGGTAACCCCATTTGACACGTGTGATAGCAGCGTGCTGTTATCAGTGAAACCAACACCACCCTGATCTCAACCAAGGCAATGTCAACACAATTAGAATTCATAGTCGGCGTGTGAATAAGGGAGCTTTTCCCATATTATGGACATCAGAAGGTGAGAGTTCCAGTTAGCGCCTCTGCCCCACCCCACTTTCAATAGGATATGGTTGCTTAGCCCACATTCAACCAACGAAGAGGAACATTATTTGCTAATTCCTAATTGTAAATATTTTATGCAGAGGTAAGAACCCTTATTGATAAAATTGATTTAAATAACTGCTTAAATAACAAGGTGAAGAATGCTGAATTGTACATTGCGGAGCAGAGTGTCAAGGCGAAGCATCAAAGCCTGAGGCAGTAGGTATTCATCTTGCAGTCAGACTTGAAACTTGAGACTGGCTGTATTAGCCTGTAAATTGGCCAAGACCCTGGTCTTCCAATTTCCATGCAATATGGATGAAATAAATTAAGCTTGATTAGTGATTAATATTGATTTCTTTAGAGTTTTGATATTTTTAAGTGCGATCACGAAGGCAGTGTAATTGCTCACTCCATAGCTAGCTCATAGCTGAAGCATCAAATCCTGAGTTAATTTCCAAGCATGAACTGAAAAGAATTAGAACTGGATCAGCTCAGCTCAGCTAAATCAGCTCAGCTCAATCAGCTCAGCTCAGCTCGCTCAGCTCAGCTCAGCTCAATCAGCTCAGCTCAGCTCAATCAGCTCAGCTCAGCTCAGTCAGCTCAGCTCAGCTCAGCTCAGCTCAGCTCAGCTCAGCTCGCTCAGCTCAATCAGCTCAGCTCAGCTCGCTCAGCTCAGCTCAGCTCAGCTCAGCTCAAGCTCATTCAGCTCAGCTCAGCTCAAGCTCATTCAGCTCAGCTCAGACAGCAGCTCAGCTCAATGCATTACTGAGCCGGCTCAGCTCACAGCTCAACAATTTGGCAAAATGTTGAGCCGGCTCATGAGCTGAGCGGATTTTTGAGCCGGCTCAACTGAGCTGATCACAAGTCTGACTAAATGCAACTATTTGAGCCCGGTAAAGAAATTCGCAGAATTTTCTACGGACCAAAAAACCATAGATAATAGATTCGTGTCATTTATGCAAAAAAAAAAAAAAAAACGCATCCCCGTCGGTGACGCGCAATATCAAGCTTCGCAAGATGCTTCCTAAGTTCAAACGCACTACACCTGTGTTGATATATGAGTTAAAATCTGAGTTTCCAATGCCGGACCATACAACTGGCATCATGAATGTATTCTTCCGGGTGTTGCCCTGTCGTCATCAAGCCAGCAGCGCTGGCTGGGAGATAAACTGCCGCTCAGCGGTTAGGTCAGGGGGACGCTCACCGGAAGAGGGGCGTCCTTCTGTCAGACTGGGCGGGGGGGGGGGATCGGGTGGCCCGGGTCCGCTCCAGATCCCAGCGGGAGCCGCCCCCAGTCCCGACCCAGTGGGGAGGGGGGAGGGATTCAGTGTACTGAAGAGACCATCGAGGTGTCCTGTCAGAGTCAGGATTGGTTCGTAAAATGGGGTAATCATGGGCCGGAGGAGGGCTGCCTGTAGCATAAATCGTACTCTCAAGCAGGAATCGCCAGCTAAGATGTTATAGGAATTGTTTTAGAGATCTAGTTTCAGGATTGCTTGCCGCAGTTGAAAGTTATAAAAGTTAGACCAGCTTTATCCGTTCATGAACTTAAAATGGTCAAAGTGAAGAAAGCGAGGAAAGAAAAAATGAGTTCAAAAGAATGAGTAGAAATGAGTTGCAGAATGAAAGAAAAGAATGACTTCAAATAGTGAATAAAATGCAAATTAAATTTACTTATTATTCGAGCTGAACTTTTGGTGAATACAGCTTCAAATCAGTAGACATCGATTTGCCACCTCGAAATGTTAGTGAAATAACAAAGATAGGTAGTAGCCGTTTTCACGACGGCCGTCTGGTACACATTTGGTGCACATCTGGTACAGATTAGGTGCAGATTTGGTCAAATCAGGTTCAGTGTGTCTCTTAGCAGCTATCAGTTAGGGTTGCACTAATTGATTATATGCCTGCTTTGTTATATTATCAGAGAGCATCATGGATTAAACTGAAATAAATTCATAAAATGAAGATATTTGCTGTAATAGAAATTAGGTGCGGATTTGGTCAAATCAGGGGCATTCGCCGGATAGCCCGTCGTGAAAACGGCTAATATTAACTAGAAAATGGAAACTTGCAGAACAAACATGTCAATACTTGAATAAATCTACGAAAATGCATACAGATAATTGCATTCAGCCCATCAGTCAACCGGACTCGGTGGCGTAGACCAAGCGTGCCTATAAATAGCCACGTCACATGGGGCGTGAACTGATCGATGAACATACTTACCTCCTCCATCCTGCTGCACCAGGTAGGGGAAGCGCCACACATTTCCGAGGCCGACAGACAGCGACACGCAGCTCAGCATGAACTGCCACTTGTTGCCCCAGGCGGCACGCTCCGGCACCGCCTTGACCTCGACATCACCGTTCTCGTCGACATTGAGGGGCGCAAACTCCACCTCTCTGTCCTCGATTCCGGCGAACGTCGTCTTGCGCTCCTTCTCCGGCATGGTGGTACGGCTGGGGACGCCTGCACGTCCACTCTCTGCGGCCGACGCTCGGCTCGCTACTGAGTGAAATTGGAGCCGCCGCCGCCGCGCCGACTCTGACCGACCGAGCAGCGCACGCGCCGTCGTGCGCGAGCGACCGGCGCGGCGGCGCGGTACAATAGTGGGGACGTGCGACCGTGCCGTACTTCTGAATGAATAGCAGGAAGTGCCATCAATCAGGTCACGATATGTTACCCACCATGAAGGCCCAAAATCTCCGAGACGAAAAATTAAAGGATAACATAAAATTAGGTATATTAAACGAACAAGTGAATAACGTTGTAATTCATGCATTTACAAATTAAATAACACATAATACGATTATAACGATTTTGGACCTATTATTTGTCAACTTCATATCACACGCAATTTCACAAAAAAATACATTTGTATTTATGTTTTAGATTGATTTTGATTTTTTATTGATTTTGATTGATTTTTTATTAATTTTTATTGATCTTTTATTGATTTAATTACGAAAATAAAATAAAAAATTCAGCTTTTTTTATTAGTGCTCACGCACTAAAAATTAGCGACTTTAACCAGGAACACAGTAGCAGCTCCCTGTTCATTTAACCAAAGAGCTTCTCTTTTTATCAACACGTCCATCTCTCCCTCTCTTCCCTCTTACTCCGCTTGTTTTTTTCTTTCTCTCTCTCTCTCTCTCTCTCTCTCTCTCTCTCTCTCTCTCTCTCTCTCTCTCTCTCTCTCTCTCTCTCTCTCTCTCTCTCTCTCTCTCTCTCTCTCTCTCTCTCTCTCTCTCTCTCTGACTCTCTCTCTCTCTCTCTCTCTCTCTCTCTCTCTCCGACCTGTGGATCTCCACAGTGTCATGGTGCTATGGAGCCCCGATTATTTTTGGCACTTTTCGCGCGCCATCGTCGGGGGGCAGTGCTGTTGGTGGGGAGGGGCGGACAGGGCCGTTGGGTCCTGGTGTGGTTGACGTTGTGGAGGAGCCACGGCTGGCAGCTCGTGCCAACAGAGGCGCCGCGCCGGGTCAGTCAGATGAGGCCGGTCGTCCTCTGCGGCCACCAGGGGCGGATCGGCCAGACGGGATGGATCAGTGGACGTTCAGAATTGGTAACACACTTATAAAGAAAAAATAAGCAAATATTTATGAAGACACTAATGCACTTCTAATATTTTTATCACATTCCAACGCAAAGGGAAATTTAGACGGCACCAGCCTGCCAATTTGTCTGGTGTCTCATCGTGTGTAACCATGTCTGTTGTACCACAGTTGAACATCCTAATGAGAAGAAAACGTACGCTGCAGTGCTGCAATAAACACTGCTTACTCTAGTTTGAAGGACGCTCCTGACATTACCACATCGCTGCATGGCCTAACTGTGCCAATAAAACTGTAGCGATCTGTGAGCCATTGTTGTGTGGAGACTCGGCCCAGGATTTCGGCCCAGGATTTCGTTTTATCCACAGTGTGCAGATAACATCCTGTCGCCAACTGTTATCAGAGCTGGAAAAGGTGCCTATAAGATTTGAGCCAACATGTTTTACTACATATATTAGTCGATAGATTTAATTAATAAATTGGCAATCTTCATATGCTTGCGAAGCTCGTAAGCTCGAAATCATTGCTTCCTGCAATTTGATATGCTATGAAAAGGACCTAGACCACCTAACAACTACGTAACAATATCTACAGTAGCTGCAAGCGCATGAGATACTGAGTTGCATCGGGAACTGCCATCAACATCGGGGGTAGCGTGGTGGTGATAAAGGAAGTCAACGTGGCCTACCGACCGTCCGCCCTGACGTGGCACTGTTGTCCGGAGACGTACACACCGGCTACATTCCTATAACTGGGGACGGGGCCAACTGGCACGATCGATGTCGGCTACAGCGATCAGCCTCATGTATGCACGCGCATATACAGTAGTAGTAGTAGTTTATTGACACAGTCTTAGGTACTAGATGGATAAAACCCAGAAGACAGGTGTCCATTAAAACAGATCATATACAAAACATATTAAAACCGTCAAACATTTCATACAGAGAACCAGCGTCCATTAAAACTATACCTAAACACCACGTTAAAATCCGTCGCGTCATACGTTCTCACATGCCAGCAAAACTCTCTGAGAGTATATGGCCAAGTCCTTTGGACTACTTTTCATCAAGCTTGCCAAACTATCAAAGCTCAGCATTGTAAAATTTCTCCTAAGTGGCTCAGTGATTGGGCAGTCTAAAAGTACATGCGCCTCTGTTTGCACACCGAGCCGACAGGAGCATAGCCTCTCTTCTGTTGGGATTCTAGCCCACCTCCCTGTCTCTATTCTAAGGCGGTGTGAGCATAGCCTTAGTCGTGTAAGTGCTGTACGAGCCCGTTCTGAAACATTGTTAGTATATATCGGGTGAACCGTAAAATCAGCATTAAAATCGATGTATGTTTTTCTCCTGGAAGATTCAGACCCTGTTATTTTCATATGTATGTTTTGAAGGCTCCGCTCGCGAATGGACCCTGGTGTTTCTTTCATAATATTACCGATATATGAGCTCGCGGCTGTGTTTGCCTGCCTGTTCAGTTGCATGGCAAAGTGAGCTGGGCTGCCTACAAAATCAGATCGGCACACACATGCACATACACATGCACACACAGACACACACACGCGCACAAGGTGTCTGCAGGCGTCCGGCCAGGAGCGGGCGCAGCGCGGTGTGGGCGGGGGCGGGGGCGGTGCGGGCGGGGCTGATGTATGTATGGCTGACCGGTGCTATTGCCCGCCGCCCAAATCCGGGACTCCACCGCGGTGATACAGTTGCACCGCTGGTTCGTTTGCCCCAGCCACAACACCCGGAAGCGACGAGTCCCGGCTGCGACATCGACGGGGCTTCTTTAGCCGCGGCGGCAGGGGTGGGTGCACGTGGTCCGGGCGTCAACGCCGGCCGCCCACAGTCCGGTCATATAATGTGCCGATCGTTACGAGACCGGCGTGCCATTGAACTCTTATCCCATCCTTAGGTCGGCTTCTCGCAGTCTCAGATCGGCCTCTGATTCAGTTTAGACGTGCAACAGCTGCGGTGAGGCCGCCAATCTGCTCCCGACAGCTGGCGGACGTTTTGTCTATCGTGGATAGGCGTCTCCTACATCCGAACGACATGTACTGGCATGCGACCCGCCACCTGCGCCGTCGGCCGTCCGTCCGTCGGCCGGTGAACTATTTCCGACGCGCCGTTACCGTCGTGCACGTGACCGTCGGCGCCACCGTCGTCGAAACACGCGGAGGATCAGCGTCGCCAGCGACGCGAGGTGGCGCCACTGTGGGACAGAGGCCAGCGGAGGGGGCGGCGGGGGCGGGGGCGGGACAAGGGGCGAGAGGGGAGGGCGCCGACAGCGACAGTGTGAAAAAGGGGGACAACAGATTTATTGGATGTCTACAGGATCACGAGGGCTGGGAAAACTGGGGGCTCCTGAGGGGCGTGGATGGACGAGCGGGGCGGGGAGCTAGCCTGGTGGGCCAGGCCGGCTCTGACCACCGGACCCGGCCGGTGTCGGGTTGCAGGGCCGTGTGGCCGACAGGAGGCAGCGACCCCGGCGATGACGTCAATGTCGGCGATGAGACGGAGGGCGTGCACTTCATCTGTGTTACGTTCAGTTCTCAGCGGACGGTGGGTTATTAGTTACAAGTTACAACATACGCATGTCCCAGCCGGAGTATTTTAGGTGTGAAAATAAACCAACGTGAAAGGATCATTGACCATGTTTATGAATTTGTAATACGATAGCTTGTCTCATCATACTTCCAGAAACTGTGAAAGAGTCATCAGTGCAAGATCAAATTACGCTCCTTTGCTCGGCCTTGAGATGCATTGGAGCTCAAATTTGGGGTGGCGTAATTGAGTTGCAGTGCATGGTACTTTTCCACGACAAAACTGCTTACGAAAAATTTCGTTCACCTGTGGTGATTGCTGGATATCGGACAAATATACATACAAGTGCTCTGTGGGAAAACTACTGGAGCTCCTTAGTGATAGCTATTCCTGATGCATTTAGATTTAAAATTGAGGTGGAAATATCCTTGTGTGCGTTAAAGCCGTCACGAAAGAAAAATCGTCGTTGAGGTCGTCGAAATATATCCCCCGGAACAGCGTGGGACAGCCTGGCCACTGACGTATGGTCCAGCTGTGCCCAGTGCTCTATTTTCTCGCCCTTTAGTTTCTCGGTCTGGTCTGGTGCAGGCTCCACGCCTGCTGCAGTGACCCCAATGGTCGTGCAGTTACATCTCTGGTATGTCCTCCTGGCACACAAGAGGACACCCTAGCGGCCTCTCCGTCTCGTTACAGCGCCCTCGGGCGTGACCCGTCACGGTCACGGTGAGCCCAAATGTGACCGCCGTCACGGCTGGACACGCGGCGAATCACGTGATGCGCCACACAGGGTCACGCGGGGTCACCCCTGGGAACGGCGCGTGTCTGCGCTGACCACAGAGAGGCTCGTCCGCCGTCAGCGGCCGGCCCGGCTGGCAGTGGGCCCGCCACACCCCTTTACTGCCACCCAGCCGGCCGAGGGCGCCTGTCAGTGGCCGCGCCGAGGGCAGGGCACAGACACCTCCCCCGGTCACGTGACTGACCTCGACAGCGGCCAGGCGGCGGCGCCAACGACGCAGCCCACGGTTCGTCGGAAGGTCATCTCAGGCTCAAAAGAAACGGTATATACCAGGGATGCGGAGCCGTGGAAATTTCAGACGGCTCCGGCTCCGGCTCCGGCTCCGGAGAAAAAAATCGGCTCCGGCTCCGACTCCGGCTCCGGGTGAAATGTCATGGCGGCTCCGGCTCCGGCTCCGGCTCCGAGTAAAATGGTCCGGCTCCGGCGGCTCCGGCTCCGGCGGCTCCGGCTCCGACTCAGTACATCCCCTATGCAATCAATTAAATACGGGTGGAAGAAAAATTGGATTGGTTATACGCGTTACTCTTTGCCATGACCGGCTCACCGCGTCCCCGCGCAAACGCACCTCGGAGAGAACTGGCAGAACAAAGGACTAGGAAGCGATGGCATTGGAAACGCAGTCGCCGCGAATCGGAGTTCACTGAAGCTGACATTCCTCTCGGCTGCATGGGGGGAGGGTGGGGGGTGGGGGGTGGGGAAGAGACGGTGCTGGGAGTCGCAGTCCACTGCACTGGCTTCAAAACAATGGCCGTCACCTGATGACCGGTCCTCATGTTCTGGGGATGCAGTAGACGTGGGGGGGGGGGGGCGAGGAGGAGCAGACAGAAAGTTGATTGCGTACTGTGGGATACTGGGGATATTCAGCTTTTTTTCATTCACTTGATGGCTCATGACGTACTTATCATATGCTTTACTGCCTTGTACTGTCAAACCGTACTAGGTCAATTATTTTTTTCCTCTTCAAAAAATAAAAAAGGAGCCGGAGTCGCCCCCTTTTTTGGCGGCTCCGGCTCCGGCTCCGGCTCCGGGCTATATTGTTTCACGGCTCCGGCTCCGGCTCCGGCTCCGGGCAAAATATGCCGGCTCCGGCGGCTCCGGCTCCGACTCCGGCTCCGGCTCCGCATCCCTGGTATATACCATTCGAAAGCTGACGGTGAGCAGAATCCAAAAATGTATTTTTTATCAAAATCGATCGATGGCCTTTTTTGAAAATTTCGTTTTTGTAAAAACTTAATAATCTTTTATTCAACGGGCTGTCCCGGACATTCTTGAAAACATAAACATGTATTTTTGAGTTCCAGTGAAAGCTGAACGCCAAAAGAACAATATTTAGCGAAGCAATATTTCCAAACATTAAAGGGAGATAATGACCTTTTTCCACAAAATCTGAGTTAGGATCATTTTCTGACAAAACACAACAAGTTATAATATAAATTAAAACCATTTTGCTCAATGCGGTACCTTGCCGCAAATATCTCAACTTGAAGTCACGTTAGCGGGGAGCGCTGAAAATGACCGTTGAATAAGTACTTACATCACTTTTTGGTACTTGCATGTAATTTTGTAAAATGAGCGTATTCCTTACATTTGATCTTCATCACATCTAGTTAGTTAATGGTCGTCTATAGTGCCTTCAAAAGATATTCATGGTTTGGGGGTGGTTTATGTCTAAATTTACGCAACTATTTTTCCTGTTCATCATCTGAGGCCATATGCTGCTATTTTAGTAGCAACGACTCAATTTTGAATCGGTCCCGCCGACTGCACAATAAAAGAAGATAGATACAACACTTTTGCGGCATCACTGAAAAACTTATGCAGTACTGTTATCAAAATTCTCATAACACCGTTCGACAAACCTGAAGTCTTTTTGAAATAAATATGCTTGTATTTTTCGCTTCAGGCTCTGAGGCCAAAATAATGAATTTCGTAGTCGCAATCGCAAGATTTGGCTGCGTTTCTGGCGCATGCCGTCCATTTGTGGCGCAAAATAATACTTGGAAACAAAGAAGAGTAGGCACTATGTACGAATCTAATTAATTCTAAACCGAATTAACTCTAATTCAAATTAGAATCCTTACAACCAAGCAACGACAAGGCGATAACATTAACAAAAACCCAAGCGTCGCTGTTTGAAACAAAAGCGCCATATACTGCGACTTTTTTATAGAGAAGGACAAGAAGGACAACGCATTTCGGTGGGTGTTACAAGTACTGCAAGTACTGCTTCTTTTTTGCAAAAATAAAAACGTTTTTCACATACGAAAATGTGCTAGGAAATTTTCATATTTTTTAGAAACTACAGTAGAAATAGTATAGATGTCGAGTAATTTTTATTAAAGAAAAAAGAAAGCTCATTATCTCCCTTTAATATGCGTCTCCCACAGCCGACAATAAGGCGCAATCACACATCTCAGTGTCACGATGGACCAAAGTCAGCCACACAGAAGCGTGAAATGACCCTTATCGACTCGCAGACCCGGCGCTCTCGGCCCGCCTGACCGGCCACGGAAAGAACGTTCGGCTCTCGTTCTACTAAACAAATGTAATATTTGCCACTTTAACTGTCCACATCGCTATTAAAGTTACTCAGGATACCTGTGAAGAAAATTCATTGTTCTGCTTGATTTACAACATGCTTTAATTTACATTTTTCTTATACATGTTTTGTTCCATCCAGCTGCGATCAGTGCCCGCGCAGGGGAAGTGAGCGGGGTTTCACTGTCAGAGGCTGTACTGGTGACAGCTGCTCGGCCGTGCGACCGGTCAAAGGTTACCCTGCCCCGCCGGGCGCTACCCCCACTCCACCCCAGCTGAGGCCGGTGCAGCCTCTGACATTTCAGCGTGGCCAATTTTCCTTATATGGGCATGATACCAAGCTCAATTGAGCAAAGTAGACATGAACAGATGCAAATTAATGCATGATGTGAAGATGACAGAACAATGAATTTTCTTCACAGGTATCCTGAATAGCTTTAATAGCGATGTGGACAGTTAAACTGACAACTTTGACATTTGTTTAGTAGAACGAGAGCCGAACGTTCTTTCCGTGGCCGGTCAGGCGGGCCGAGAGCGCCGGGTCTGCGAGTCGATAAGGGTCATTTCACGCTTCTGTGTGGCTGACTTTGGTCCATCTTGACACTGAGCTGTGTGATTGCGCCTTATTTTCGGCTGTGGGAGACGCATATTAATGTTTGGAAATATTGCTTCGCTAAATATTGTTCTTTTGGCGTTCAGCTTTCACTGGAACTCAAAAATACATGTTTATGTTTTCAAGAATGTCCGGGACAGCCCGTTGAAAAAAAGATTATTAAGTTTTTAGAAAAACGCAATTTTCAAAAAAGGCCATCGATCGATTTTGATAAAAAATACATTTTTGGATTCAGCTCACCGTAAGCTTTCGAATGGTATATATCGTTTCTTTTGAGCCTGAGATGACCTTCCGACGAACCGTGCCCGCCGGGCGACCGTGACGTCACCGCGCGCCGACTGACCCCTGTGGGGGATCGGAGGGGTGGGAGGGGACATCAGACTGAACGGGGGTGAGGGGACCAGGATATATCAGCAGGCAGAAGTAATGGAGAGAAAAAGGAATTGATAAATGGTACGTGCAACGTCGAAGCCACGAAGTTTTAAATTCAGCAAAATGCTATCACGGTATATTACCTTCTTTCTATCGCTATTTTTCGGAATGATTAAAGGGACACTCCCACCTTAACATTAGTTTTGAGTTGAGATAGCCAAATTGGTGGCCATGGCCTGCAAATACCGGTTTGGGCACTCACAACATCGACAAATGCTTTAATTCGGAGATATGGAATTTCAAACTTGCAGTTTTCGGATTCTAAGGGGCTAGTGCATTGGTATGCCCCCTTAGAATTTGTGACGTCAGCGGAGATCTAACGATTTTTAAATCTTTTACTAAAACGTTTGGTAGCACGCGGTGGTATATGCTGCTTTGCGCGCAACAAATGCCGCACTTTCAAATAAAGTCGCTAGGAACAGCGGAGATCCCAAAAAGTAAACAAAAGTAAAAGTCTAATATCTTGAAAACCGGTGAATATTTTTCGATGAAATTTGGTAGATATTCGTTTTCGCTCTTTCTGAACCGAGCGACATCACTTTCGTGCCAATTCATTAACTTTTTTGAAGGTGGGAGGGTCCCTTTAAATGGTTAAAATTCGAAAGAACAATGAATAACTTTCGTAATGCCTACTTGTATTCAATAATAACGTTGTGATCACATACCACTGATGAAAAGTTGATCGCTTACACCACAGCTAGCCTTGGATTGTTTTTTGCTTTGTTGCTCTCACCTTTAAACACCTTTCAAGTTAGTGCTACCCCAGTTGCGTTTATATGTAGTCACTCATCCGTTGATAAATCGCTCATCCATGAAATCATGCACTTATCAAAGAGTTCCCTTTTACCGTCCGTCCAGCCTCCGCATCTGACCATAGGTGTGCCACACGACATGTTAAATGTTTTTGATGTGTATTTATCCTCATACAAATTAATCATCACCACTGCGCGTCTAAAAAGCATTGAGACCAATATACTGACCATCGGTGGGAAGTGCGGACTAGTTCGTTCACCGTAGGACACACAATGCACTGGTACACTGACATGATACGCCCTGCATGCACATACACTCGCGAATTACAGCTAATGTGTGGTAGGTATTTACACTGGCCTTCTCCAGAGTATCAGAGTCAATCAAAGCCCATAAAAGCCCAGTGGGTACATAAGCAACGCCTGTGAGCCACCTTTCTGACCTGAGCTCCGTTTTCTCTGAAATACGCCCCAAACAAAAACGCAACTGAGCTTGAAATCGAGCTGTCTGGTCGACATATTGTAATTCTTATAACGAAAATAATCATCAGTAAAACTTTATTATTTAGCAGTAGTGAAGTAACCTAAAAGCAATTAATCTATCAATCGATCGATCAGAAACCTATGGAAAAACGGGACACAACGACTAGTGATTTTCAGGCCGAAATCGACAGCGACGGAAGGGATAGGCTGTACCGCATTACAAGTATGTGTTGCGGCACAGCATACCATGCACTGTTCACTTGTCCAGCTTGGCACGAATATTCGCCGCGGTATTGCTTTTGGTCGATTTGGTTCTTCCCTTCAAACGCTGAGACTGGTATCTCAGAATGAGTTGATCTGTTTTAGAGGCTTTTTGACATGTGCTGTAGCTACTGATCTAAGTTAGCGCAGAAGTGAACGTATTTACTTTTCTGACCATATATATTCAACATATACTACCAATAAAGAAATAGAATGAGATAAACGGAATCACATTCTGAGAATGGTTATGTGAAAAATTACTGCAATACCACTAAGTAGTAACACAAAGAAGAGAAACACACTTCTCCCAATTAATATATTATCGGTGGGTTGAAAAATTGCTTATTCCAGTAATAACCCATTTGTACCCAATTTTCTTTTGCATTGTCATTAATGCAGTAACGATACTGTTGCTGATGGGTCATTGATTCACCAGATGCATTACTAACATATCAATACTTCAATAGTACATGCTAATTTTCCTATTAAAAAAAAAAACGGTGTCGCAGTTTGGAAACAAACATGAGCATCGCATAACAGAAGCCTTATTAATCAAATAGCACCAGAATGCAAAAAGCATGTCACATATCCGATATCCATCAATACAAACAGTAACATGATCGACATTCTATCTTCACACAAGCTCGTGGAGTAGGTCGCGGGCCGTGACTAGCTTTCAAGCATATCACTGGGATATTCGACACTGGTAAACATCTACTGCATGCATTTCAGGGGGACGATGCAGTTTTTGAGGTGCAAGATGCATTCTTTGAGCTCCACCCTCCTAGGTAAGCAGAGTTCAAGGTGCATTGTGCAACGGCGTGCCTGCAGCCCTCTGGGAAGTAAGTACCACGCTTAGCATTGACCACACTCACAAGTTACAAAAGCGAGAATTCCAAACTGTCTCGAATATACAAAATCCATATTTTCGACGAGGAGTGTTGAGGAGCATCTGCAGGCCCTTCGAATTAAGCTGGTATGCGCTCAACAATATTGCTCGTCCGTTGCTGGGGCTTCGGAACTTTATGTAGAAAACTCCATTTTTTTATAAGCAAAGACTATGGGCTATGATATTGTTAGTAAATTAGATACAACCAAAATCCGACCCTGCCATTTTTCAATAACCATCTATTGGCTGACATTTCACAATACAAGTCCACAGATCGGCAATGACGCAAAACTTGCACACGAACAAGCCGGATGAGGGTTAAAAAAACGACACCAGTTGCAGTAGAAGTTCCAGCTACGTTTACAGTGTGGGGCCACACCACTAGGTTCACTGCCAGGTTACAAAGGTCACTCGGCGCAGTCGGACGGGCCCGTCCGGCCAGTATAAGTACTCTCTGCTCGACAGACTGCTCTCTCTATCACAGCTCACACGAGTGGTAGGCGGGTACCGGACCAAAGTACGAAAGCAGCAGTACGCATGGTAGTGGAACGAAGCGCCTAAGTTTGTGCCGCAGATATTCGTTTGAGATAAAATCAAAACATAATTTGGAGATAACTGTGCACTTTATCAGAAAAAAATTATTAAAAAATGAGTTTTGGAAGGGAAATATTCATTTAAGAGGCATCTGAAACGAGCGATATTGGTAAAATATGCTCATAAAAGGATTCAAATATTTTCTTAAATTTTCAAGCTGCAGCTCTCAAACGATTTTATCTCGTACGAAAATCTGCGCACAAACTCTTGCGCAATACTCTTGCCCGCGTACTGGAGACACCCAGACTTAATTTTCTACGTACATTCACTTAGGACCTCGTGCTTACGTACTTTTGCGTACGTACTATTGCCAATGCGCACTTGGGTCCGCCTAGCCTAGCCGCCTACCACGTCCCAGGCTGTCCGACAGGCCGTCAGGTCAGACCCTCCTCCTCTCCGGAGAAAAGGGACGATCAAGGGCCGTCGCCGCCGCGGGAAATATTGGCTACGTGTTGTGGGTGGCCGCGTGCGGGCCGTGCTGAGATGATTGTCAGTCGTCAGCCAGCTCAAAGTGGAACTTGGCTCGCAGAGGCAGACTGAGCTCCAGTTGTGACACAGACGTCACCGTGTTCAGGTTACTGTATCCAGACTCCTCGATCGGCTCCAGATCGTTCTGCAATAACGAGAGAGGTGAAGATGACAGTGGGTAAGCGACACAGCGGGGAATTTGTGTCATGAGTTGGAAACTCTGGCTAGCTCATTTCTTACATGAGATGAAATAAACAAAATACTTTAGAGAACTGGCAGCCTACCTATAAATTCATGAACACTAATGACTAAACTACCACATTATTTTCAACTAACGACGGCATTATCGTTCAGAGCGTGTTGCCTAATGACCAGATAAGTGCCACCACAGACACAGCTCAACACATCAATACATCTCTCCATCGATGTACATTGTACAATCTATGTACACCTCTACCCACATTCCCACATCTCTAAACGCGGCGTCACTCACGTCACAGTTCATCTTGGTCTCTCGGGCGATCATGGGCAGAGTGGAGGAGGCTGTGCCGACGCGCCGCAGCTCTGCCTCAGACACCTCGTCATCGGTGGTCAGCAGCTTGCCCTGGCACTTCCTCACCAGGAACACGACGAACGGAGGCAGGATGCCGGCGATGGCCAGCATGCCGGCAACGATCAGAGCGAACGTCGGGTACTCGCGGGAGACGGTCTCACCCTGTCGGCGTTGGAAGGAGGGAGAGGAGGTCATCACATGCATCTTTATATATTGCAGAGTCTAATTGACCTCCAAAAACTGGCCAAAGGTAAAAGTAAAAAGAGGGCGGCGTGTATGGCCGGTCGTAAAGCTTTCCGCGACGCAATAGACTGGAAATGCGAATGAGAAAACAATTCATGGGGTATCGCTACATTTGATTTGCATGCAAACCTTTCCAAAGCCAACGATATGCCATGTTTTGTAAGTGAAGCACACACATCCGCATTTCAAAGCTCAAGTATACTCTAGCTTCGAGAACGAAGCATCCAAACCTAAAATGCTCACTCTTCGACCATAACTTTGGTTCCACGCAGACAAGCCGAAAGCCTCACCGAGTGTCTGTCCCACGCCAGGTAGGTGGGCGGGTTCATGAAGCGGAAGACGAGTGAGGCCACCAGGATGATGAACATCACCACGGGAGAGATGAAGTTCCAGCAGATGCACCAATACCAGCCGGGACGCTCGCCGGTCATGTCCTCAATGTCCAACGCGAACCTGGCCGGAAATGTTGTGTTAAGCATGTCATTGTATAATTGTGTGCTTAGAGGAGCGCTAAATCAGTCAGTATAGTGATGAGTGATGTCTAGCACACCGCAAGACGACACAGTTGGCATGACATGCAAATATGATAATAGGACCTACATAGGTCATCATGTATTTAGCACTAACAGCCTCCCCGCTATTTCGTCTAAACATTGTGAAGCAAAACAAACGATCGGCATCACGATACAGCGCTTATAATTACACGACACATTATCGCTCTAAAAACGGACACACACGTCTGTTTGTTTACGCTCATTTGTTACGTGAATTTCTATACCATAGATATACCATCCCTCTAACCGTAGTTTCTACTTGTTTTGTTGGGTTAGGCCCTTTCGGTCTGACAAGACCATTGCAGAGCCGGAAGGATGATAGGAATTAGAGGGAGACATTGGTCTGGGCAGGCACCCTAGTGAGTCGCCGGGGCTGAGCCCGTCCAGAGGACAGGCCACTCAGTCCCAAGGCACTCACTGCACCCGGCTACGGGGTGCGCTCCCTCAGGAGCAGCGGTGCCGCTCCAAGGGAGCAGCCCGCATGAGATAAAGTTGCCTGTCCAGCCCGGAGGGGGATTGCGGCGTGGAGGAAAAGGATTTCAGTATCCTGAGGATGGAAGCACGGAACGGTGTAGTTTCTACGAGCAGACGTACTTTTTGTAGCCGTAGACGTAGCAGACGGCCAGCATCTCCATGAGAGCGATCATGACGAGGCCGACAGTTCCGGCGAACGAGTCGAACAGCTTCAGCCAGTACTCGCCGGCGCCGGTGGTAAAGATCAGGCCGACCAGGAAACAGGTGACGCAGATACCGCCTGGGGCACAGACATGGGTCAAGGTCAAGGTAATCAAGGGCTTGGAGGGCAGAGCTGGGACGCAAGATGATAGGTGGGTGGTGTATGGAGGGAGAGAGAGAGGGAGAAAGAGAGAGAGAGAGAGAGAGAAAGAGAGAGAGAGAGAGAAAGAGAGAGAGAGAGAGAGAGAGGGAGAGAGAGAGAGAAAGAGAGAGAGAGAAAGAGAGAGAGAGAGAGAGAGAGAGAGAGAGAGAGAGAGAGAGAGAGAGAGAGAGAGAGAGAGAGAGAGAGAGAGAGAGAGAGAGAGAGAGAGAGAGAGAGACGGGGGCTAACGGGCTCCCAGCTTTCAATTAATTAAAGTGGAGCTCTACTTCTCCTCGAGTTCGTCTTTATCTGAAGTTGACTGCCCGACTTTGACCCATTTGCCGCTTTTTGCTCTCAGACGTCAAAAAAGGTTGGCGAGATTCGTGTGGAATTTGGCTCAGAGGATGCCGCCCTGACCTTGACATTCTGCTGTCAGATTAATACATACCTCTAGCTGACTTGTGCCAAGGACGTTGATATCATTTTAAAGGGACTATCCCACCTTCTAAAATGTTGTTGAAACCAGTTAAATTGTGCCCGACTTTATAGATTGGATGACCAGGAACACGGTTCTGGCATTTATTTTTCATTAAACATCTAAGGCTTCCCATATTCCAAACACAAACTTTCAAATATGTGACGTCACAGCCCAAAATTACCTCCTTCCCCAGGCCACATTACTGTCATAAAGCTGATTCTTTTTACTATGTAGGCACCACAACAAAGCTCTGACTAAGTTTTAAGCGATTTTTCAACGAACAAACCCATTTAAATCAGAATGACTAAACGAGGTGACGTCACACTAACGGTCGCTCCATGTTGAAGATAGGGCCTTGTACAAGGCCCATTTTCAAATGAAGGGAACGAATTTCTTCAACACCAAGAGGCCGCGGGGGTTGCAACCTAGATAGATAGTGGTTTCTGAACCTCGCCGCAAACTTGGCTATCTCAACTCAAACCCCATGTTAAAGGTGGGATAGTCCCTTTAATTCGACGTTAGAGAACATCCCCATCAGAGTTATAGGCGTAAATTTATCTAAAAGGTTCTGACAAACCATAACTTTTGATGATTTTGATGGCGATTATTGTCAACAGTAATATTTAACGAAGAACAGCTTCCAAAGTTAAATGACGATCTTTTGGTTTTACTAAATAAAAGACAAATGCGGGAATTTCGGTAACAATGTCAAAGTAAATGTGAAAAGCTGTCCCCTATTCTATTTAATTTAGTTCATTTTATCTGAAAATGAATAAAGCTTACCGCTGAGGATGGACTTGGAGAACCTTCTGAAGATCTTCATGTCAAAGACGGTGGTGATGACGCCCTCCATGGTGCCGAACTGAGAGCCCAAGCCCAGCGAGATCAGCATCAGGAAGAAACAGATGGCCCAGAACGGACCTCCCGGCAGCTCCACGATGGCCTGGGTGAACACGATGAACGCCAGACCGGTACCCTCGGCAGCCTGAGGGAGGTCAGGTCAGGTCATCTGTAAGGTCAGGTCAGGTCAGCATAAGGTCAGGTCAGCCGGCAGGTTAGGTCTGCGATAAGGTCCGATCAGCCGTCAAGTCAGGCTAGTTCAATTGTCTTTGGTCTTGTAGGTTCGGCAGGCGGTGACGTATGTACATAAGGATGGGACAGGTATGCACTATGCAGTAAGGTAACTAAAGATTGACTAGTCACTCAATGGGTTATGCCGTTGGCGACTCTCTGAAATATCTGAATAAAATAAATGTATCGGAAAGCATTCCAGTTGACGTAAGTAAAAATAGATGAAACTTCAGAGTCGTATGTCACTTGTAAATCCATCTAGTGTTTGTTTACCATGGCAACCCAATTCCGGGTTGATGCATCTGTTGACAATGGTTGTAAAGTGAACCCTGGTTTTACCGGAACCGGGTGACCTCAGCACTGCTCCACGCTAAGGGGCAGTGAACGAGAGTCGCCAGTGGAGGGGCCAGTGCAATTGCCAGCTCTGGTCTGCAGCGGTCCGAGCCATAATGCCAGGGGGCGTGGAATATCCCCGAAAGGACCGCTAGGCGCTATCCGGCAATGTCATGCTCTTTGCGGCCGGTTGTGCCACACTGTAAACCACATGCCCTTCTTGTGGGCCGATTCCAGGCGTGAGTATCGGACGGCGACAGATCAGCTTCAGCTGGGGCAAGAAACCAATCGTTTGGAGAATCGCAAACGAAATTTTTGATCTTAGGAGTAGCAGTAATGGGACATGACAGAATCAATTATTGTGGAGATTCAGGCATCAATATAAAATTTCATTCTTCATGGAATAAACGACTTTTGTGGTATAACACGGAATACATATTTAAAAAGGATAAACGTTTTCCGTTTATCTCATGCAGGCACAAGCTGCGTTGATTTGAAAAGATATGCGATAAAATTACATTACTTTGGTTGGTCTCATATCAGTGCAACACGTCAGTCATATTCTGGCCCTCAGAGGATCATTGTCCACGTGGACGGTTCGGTGAATGAGCGCGACCCCGCCCGCTGCCCAGATGTCGCCGACACGCCCCTTCAGCTGCACATTCCAAGACGAGCCGAGCTCGCGTACAGACGGACTGCACCGTCGGGCGGGTGAAATCCGAGCCCGGCGCCGGTCTCTGGTTACCAGCGGGCCTCGTGGCCACTGCCGTCTCGTCGCTACGTCCAAATATTTAGCGGCTCGGGTGGGTGGCGCTGGTGTTGGGCCTCGCAACAGGATGGCCCGAGTCGGCAGTGGTGACAAGGCTGGCCCACGGACCCCCTCCCCCCCCCCCCCGGGCCGGGCGGGGCGGCCTTCCTCAGCAGTGGAAGCTTACGAGTGCTGAGACGGGCCGGAGGGTAGACGGGCGCCGGTCCTCCCCTTCCGACGCGTCGGAAGGGGAGGACCGGCGCCCGTTTTCGGGGAACCATTACCAGACGCAACACCGCCCACTGCGGATGAGTTGCTCCGTGTGGCATGTGCACGATGATGTCATTTGAAGAAGGTCGCGTCTGACAACTAGCGGTAAATGTGATTTGTCACACACACGGGCCGTGTCACTAACAGAGCGGGTGCATGTCAGCCTCGCGCCACCCGGAGAGCTGGGTCGTGGGTTCGAAAACGGCCGGGGAGGGTATGACATGGAGCATGGACTGAAGAGTCGGGCGATGTGGTTGCTGGCGGAACCCACCTGGTTGAGCTGGTTCTCCAGACTGCAGTTATGCTCAGGGATCACCTCCGAGAGATTGTGGGCCAGCTCGTGTCTGAAAAACGAGGAAAATATCTGTCATAGATGGTTAAAGGGCAACACGTTTGTCACAAATAGCAACACAAGGCTTTGCAATGGTACTTCACTTCTTAAAACAAAATGCAGCTCAGGTATGCTTCATAACCGTTTAAATCACCCATGTAATGCGATAGTCAGATTGTTGTGATTCTAAAGCTAGTAAGGACTTTAAAATCAAAGTTAGATGGGTGCAGAACATTTATTTACTTTTGCTGAAATTCGATATCGTTTGAGATCTTCCAGACGCCATTAATCCCGTTTCCCACCCATTTCAGAGTGGTGAGGGTAAAAACGACATACAGGGTGTCCCACAATAACGTACCACATTTATTTTGAGCATAGCTTATGAAATTTTCAGCAGAATTTAGAACATAAGGTACCAAATGATAGCTAGCTCTTTGCGAATTTATTGGCAAGTGGTTTCGATGTCATAAATTATCGTGTTATACTCTTAACAATGCATTTTCCAAAAGTCCTCATTTTTGGTAAACGCTCGTGGTTTCGCCCCGAGTAGCCTCCTTTACTTTGAGAGGACACATTTCCCGGATAATCTTGCTGATCACAGACTTAGCAGACCCTATCACAATCTGAAGGTCAATCTGTTTTCCTGGCTTGACATGGCCGAAGATTCCGTCCGAGTATAGCCCAAGACATGGAAAACATCAGGGGTTAAGTTAGTGCAGTACGGCGGCCCGCCTTCGCTCGCGCATGAAGATAACGGCTGGTCTCCAACGCGCTTATGATGCTAAAATTGCGTCTCGTGACGCTTTATGAGCTGCCAGTACCCTTGATAATGAGGGTGTTTATAATTTTGGTTCTCTTTGAGCGGTTGGTGGCTGCCTATTTCTCTTAGTTGCACGTGCTAGGTATTGTGTCTGACAAAAGCTGGAGCCCATGGCTTACCTCAGTGTACTAAGTTTCCGCGTTACCTGCTGGCCTCAATAATAATTATCCGGAACGTTTTTGCACTGCCTTAATTGACAAAACATGCACTTACTAAAATGTATACAGTCGAAACCTGTATTTCGTCCCGTTAGTGCGTTCGCGATGAAGGAAGCTACCTCAGAATCTAGTGCGTGACGAAATATTGAAACCGATGCTAAAGCAAAATAACATGGTTTAGTTTATCTGAATATTGCTCCTCTTTCCCATCAAGCACACCTGTGTATCATGTATCAGCAAAATTTGCAAAGACCAAGCTTTCATATGATGGTAAAATTGTTTTTGTTGCCTTTATAGTTCTTGGAATATTCGAATTATAAATGTGGTACGTTATTGTGGGACACCCGGTATTAGCCGTTTTAACGACGGCCATCTGGTACACATTTGGTGCACATCTGGTGCAGATTAGGTGCAGATTTGGTCAAATTAGGTGCATTCGCTGGATAGCCCGTCGTGAAAACGGCTATTTGCTGATTTTTTGTTGGCTAAAAAACTATAGGCTTATTTCCATCCACTTGGCCGGTGAACGGGCACAAAAACGTCAGACCCAAGCCGCTCAAATATGTGGCAAACAGCTGCGGCGTGATTATATGTGAGAAGAGCGTTACAGAGGAAAAAAAACGAGCCGCTTGGTGAAATTAATAAATAATCCTAGAGTTTAAATAGCAGTCACAGAGGGACATATGGCTAATTTACCCGGGCGTCGCAAGTGTTTGAATGTCTTGACGTCAGTCTTACACAGTACCTAACATGATAGCGCTCAGTGTGCCTGGGGACTGTCTCGCCTGAATGACACCGCATGGGTGGCACCATTGCGACGGTGACCGTGATGCCATGGCAACTGAACCCATCATCAGCCCCTCCCTGCCTATTGAGCCCGGCGGCGGGGCAACATTCATCACTCACAGGTGGATGCATTTCTCGTGGTTGAGCACAGCCTTGAAGCCGAGGACAGAGAAGACGACGATGGAGGCGAACACAGAGGTGCTGCAGTTGGTGATGGAGACGATCAGCGCGTCCTTGCGACAGTTGTTCTTCGGAGGGTTGTAGGAGGCATAGGCGATCAGCGAGCCGAACCCGAGACCCAGGGAGTAGAAGATCTGAGTGGCCGCGTCCATCCAGACGGTCGGGTCCTTCAGCCGGTCCAGCTGTGGAAAAACACGGGACGGAGACTGAGAGGGACGAATGGACGTCACAAATCGTAGGGCGAACTGAACCGGGTGTCATGTATCGCTGAATGAGGAGATATATGTGACCTTCTTTCAGCGAGACACTTCTCCGAAACTTTGGATGGCAAAAGTCTGTTTGTGTTCGGCATACAGCGACTGGGAATTTACTGGATGACAGCGTTTCGCGGACTGGGCGAAGGAGAAATCGATGAGGAAACAGACTTGGCTGTATCGACACTGTATAGCTGCCAAGAACCGCTCATAACCGGATCACCTCCCCCTACTCCACCCCTCCCTCACCCTTAGCCGCGGCGATACGGAGCTGGTGGTCCATGCCAGGCACGATGATGCAAATAAGTCAACAAGCAAACGTTAATAATAAACTGGATTCCGCTAGAGGGCTGACGTGTCGAATATTACATAGCGTAATTGAATGCATACTGTCTCCGTACTTAAGTTAATTGTGGTTCGGTTAGAATGACAAATTATGAACGGTATTTGTATGCTAATAATTGAACAGAGGTTGTGTATGACATGATTAAGCAAATGAATCGCTTCACGTCTAGCTTATGGTATGCCTAAACACACTGTTTTGTTACGAAAACGCTGACTTATGTTGCCACGGCACATTAGCGAAAAGGGTCGAGCGGAGGCGGCGCGTGCAGGAGTTCATTTGGAGCGGTCCGTGCATATTTTCACAGTGTCTCAGACTCGTCTGGCCGGCTGGCGGCGGCCCATTTGCTGCGCCTGGAGCTGTTGTCGGCTCGGTGCCCGCGCGGCAGGCCCTGAATCACGGCAGCTCCGCGGGCGCCGCCAGACAGAGGTCACCGGCGTGCATGGCTACCGACCCGAACACATGGCCGTCGGCCGGCCTCGTGACCTCCTCCCTGCACCCCTCCCCCTCCGCTGGGGCGCCCCTCCCCCGGGACTCATAATGACACGCGGCGGCCGCGGCAGCCGTCCCAGTATCGACCGCTGGCGGCTCGCCATCTTCCAAGTGCGACACAGCCGGCGGCTATATTGATGACCTGTGACGTCAGTGGCGGCCCGCGCTGCCATTGGTCGGCCCGGGGGTGTGCAGGGGGTCGGTCGCCACTATTTCGGGCTGTCGCCCACGCCACCGTCAGAAGGACACTCAGACTGCGCAGAAGGAGAAGAATGGCGCCGCCCCGTGGTTATCGCAGGCAAAGTCGTAGCTTCCGGCGGAATGGTCCCGTCTTGACGTCACTGGAAGGGTTTGGGTGGACCAGTCTATTAGCTATCTCCCTGCAGCTTTAATTCAGCCCGAATGGCGCAGTTGCGGAAATTGAAACCACCCACACGAAAAGCAGGCATCTTATACCGTCTCGAATAATTTCGTGAGCATTCCTTCTAAAATATCGTCACTAGTCTCAGATTTTCAGCCATAACCGGGCCGCATTTTTAAAGTTCTGGCATTTATCTCTCTCGGACCAGCTCGGTGTGATTTGGTCCGTGGAGCAGCGAGCCAGAGGTATTCAGAGATGCTCTGACAAAGTTGGCGACGATGGCCAGTGACCGGGTCCGCTCGCCCTGACGACGAGTCGACGAGCGCTGCTCAGGGGACATGGGCCACCGAGTTCGGACACCTCGTGATATAGTTCGTACGGCGCGCGCGAACGTCCCTGCAATGTATACCTACCACTGGACTCCGAAGCAGTAGATAGGGAAACAGGCTATTTGACAAATAAGTCTCTCTTCAACGTTATCTCTGATTTTTCGTTGATTAAATGTTATTCGCATTTGGATTTTGATTTGCTCAGCACGGGCTCAAACAGCTATGTCTCACGAATAAGAATGAACAAAGATAGCTATTTCTTTCCCTAGAGCTGAATAGTTAAGTGAAAGAGGCGCGCAGGAAGTCTCGTGTCACCCATCAGCAATGGTTCCGTTGGCCACGCGGAAGTAATCTCCATATGCATCCATAGAACTGCGTCAGAGTCGCGCATCATTTCCTCCCTAGTCACCCGAACGCAGAAGGTCTACTACGTCGCCGAAAAGAAATGAGATGATAATGACCATCTACAACGTGTCTGCATACCGTGATAGGCTATCTTGTCCACCGTCGAATAACAGGATAAGTGGTCAATTTACGATTCCGTCTGAGGAAGAAAAATATGGCATATACCACCGTCTGATGAAGGAAAGGACGGCCTTCATGCCGCCCTCTGTTGGGGTAGACCTGAACTGACGAAAGCAGTCGACCTGCGCCGAGAGGTGGCGCCGCCGGGCCGCCAGGGGTGCAGCCTTACTACGAATAAATACGTGGGAGACGAATTGGGAATTTGAGCAGTTTCGTTAGAATCCTAAACCTTTTTCATGCCTAATAGATGTAGAGGTATATGTACTGGCGAGCAGCGATCATGGTACGAAGACCTAACATGAAGAGTGTTTGCGCACCCTATCCGCTCATTCCAATCGAAAGTGAATATGGTTCAAATATATGTCAGATATGCACTTCTAATTTAATGAAATGGTGACACCTATGTAATCGTAAAGGCTGCCTCAAATTATTTTGAGCATGATAAACGAGTTAAACAAAGCAGTCTACATACTTCCTTGTAATTAAAAACAGATTTAGATACGTTTGCATTTTTCTGTACGACATGAGTAAATAAGCGAAGAAATTAGTTTTTACATATTGCAAAAATACTACTGAAAACCTATAATCATAGAAAAATGAATGGTTATGCGTCACAATTACCTACCTTGGGTGTCAGCATATGCTTCAGTCCGCTGCCGGCTCCCTCCAGGGTGACCGCGCGGAAGAAGAAGATGGTCAATATCAGGTACGGAAAGGTGGCCGTAAAGTACACCACCTGGAAAAGGGAGACGGATCGGTCAGCCGGAGTCAGACCACGATATCATAGCTCTGAAAAACAAACAGACAAAACAACAGCTCTGCGGATAGAACAGCTTGAAGAAAATGGAATGTTCACTCTCACTCAAGTAACACTGCAATGCAATATGCAACAAGGTACACAAGTCACTCAGTCCACTCTACTCCATTGCACGTTACATACCAAGGCCCATTCTCGACCAAATTTACAAGACGTATATAAGACCTTACTTTGACTACTGTGACACAATATATGACGGACACATAATACAAGACGCTGCCCGACTTGACACGCTACAAAACAGAGCAGGGAGACTTGTGACGGGGGCTATGTTCAGGACGTCAACCGAAAAACTTCTACAAGACTTGGGCTGGGACAAACTGACTGTAAGACGACAAATACACAAACTCACTTTATATCATACATTCACTAATCCAAGACACCAAACGCCAAATTATATCACGATGATCATGCCAGAAACACGTGCAGAAAACACCGGCAGAACACTACGCAACTCCAACACACACACCATGCCTCCCAACCGAACCACATCCTTCCAGAAGTCCTTTTTCCCCTCAACAGGCAAATCCTGGAACCAGCTTCCCGAATCCATCCGATCCCTTCCTCCTCGTTCCTTTCAACGAGAGATCTCGAGGCGACTGGGGGTGCCTGGGCCTTCTCCCTTTTACAAAATTGGCACTAAAATGGGCAATATTTTCCATTCTAGGCTACGAATGCAAATGTCACAACTAAATTCACATTTATTTCAAATACAAAGGCACGATACACCTGAATGTGCTTGTGGCTTTGAAACAGAAAATATTCATCATTTCATTCTCGCGTGTCCCAACTATAATTTGCAGAGAGAGGAACTTTACCGGGACATGTTGCAAATTTTTGGCGAAAATTTTGGTCAAATGTCAACTACACGGTTATTACGCGTTCTTTTGCATGGCGACGATCTTGGCGGCGGGGACTGTCGTGCGGTGGCTCAGCATTTCCAAAATTTCTTGCTTCGTTCGCACAGATTTACCTATTAATTTACCTACCTCATTCAGTTTTGTGGGCGGCGTCCCCGGTGGGCTGAGTGACGTCAGCGCGGGTTGGGTCGGTGGCCTGTCGTGGCGGCGGCAGTGGTAGTTTTGTTTCATTACGCTACGTTACCTTCATTACGTTGTATGTTTATGTTATATTCGACGTTGATCTGAAGGCTATGTTCATGTTGTTTTATGTTTATGATGTCTATCTGATTATGTTACAAGAGGTGGTGCCTAGAGTCAAGCACAATGTGCTTTTGCACCACTCTTATATTATTTTGCTTTATCTCTGTTATTCATGTTCATTTTCCGATCGTTTTACTTATAGGTTGTCGATGCGCAATAAACATTCTGGAATGGAATGGAATGGAACACTCACCATCATATTTTAGCTCTTTCTGACTGACTGTTTTCGTCTATCTCTGCCTCTACCTGCCTCTTTCCATGTAGCTCCCTCTTTCATTCCCACTCCCTCTCCTTATCTCTTTCGTCCCCACTATCTCTCACCTTGCCACTGGACTTGATTCCCTTTCGGATGCAGCCGTAGACGACAATCCAGGACAGGAGCAGGCAGAGTGCCATCCACCATTTGATGCCCTCGGGCTCCTCGATGGAGGGCGACACGTCCAGCGTATGGCGGTACCAAAAGAAGGCCGTCTCAGACGACTGGGCACACTCCATGTTGATGGTGCCGTTGGGGCCGTCATTCGGACAGCTAGACCATGGCAGAGTCGCCTGGGCAGGTGGAACAGAATGTCAGTGAACATCCGGTTGGGATACTTACACGGATTATGTGCGACCAAGCAGGTCAGCGTAACAGGCAACGGATGCCTTTATGGGGCAATCTCTTGGGAAATGTGCGTGCGTATGGGCAAGACAGAATGGACAAAAATATAAGCAGATGCAGCTTGACGAGGCCCAATAGATAGTCAAAAGGCGTATTTTTGGGTCACTGAGTGGGCAGTACTCCCAAACCGCACAATGACCGCTTCAGTGGAACAAATAAGACAGCGAAAGACGCTTGGGCTCATGCCTGACGCCTCCGTGATCTAGACACTCTGTTGGCTGAGTAAAGGCCGATCGCCCACTGGTGGCAGTTCCTGCTCCTGGAACCACCCGCCACAGTGGGGTCACGACAGGAAAAAAAACAAAGAAGAACAAAAAAAAATGTTGAGACCATGACCGATGGTCCGTCCCCTTCGCTGGCTCGTCTCTGACTGTCCTATATCCCGCGCTCCCCTCGTGCCTCCCGCCCCAGCCCGCCCGCTCCGCTTATCTCTCTCCCTCCCACCCTCCCTCCCTCTCCCTCGCTCTCTCCGGCATCTGTCTGCCCTCGCCCAACGCCTCTTAGCCGGGGGGCCGCTAAGTTGCCATTGGGCTCATGCCTGACGCCTCCGTGATCTAGACACTCTGTTGGCTGAGTAAAGGCCGATCGCCCACTGGTGGCAGTTCCTGCTCCTGGAACCACCCGCCAAACCCCGCCAAACGGAGCGACCACGCAATAGGCCACGTAGCTAATTGTAAGCTCCTAAGAGCTTCCACAGCCACTCGTAGTGTTCCCTAGAGATCGGGACCGGAACCATCCGGAGCGGTCTGCCCCCAAGGGCAGGAACCCGAGAGCTGGTCCAGCCCACTGTAAGCTCCCAAGAGCTCACAGCCACTCGCCATGCTCCCTTGAGCTCGCGACAGGAAAACCCCCGTAGCAGTCTGCCCCCGGGGCAAGGAACTCCCAAAAGCTTAACCAGCCAACTGCAAGTTCCCAATTGAGCCCCCACGGCCACCTATCATACTCCCTTGAGCTGCGCCAGGAAACGCCCGTAGCGGTCTGCCCCGAGGGCATTAAGCTCCCAAGAGCTCGCGCAGTCAAGTGGAGAGCTCCCGAGAGCTGCCACGGCCACCCGTCATGTTCCCTAGAGCTCGCGCAGGGGAAACACCCGAAGCGGCCTGTCCTTAAAGGCAGGAAGCTCCCGAGAGCTTGTTTAGCCAACTTTAAGCTCCTAAGAGCTCTCGCAAATCGCAGCCATCCGTGATGCTCTCTTGCGCTCCCCAGAGCTCGTGGCATGAAACATACGTAGCGGTCTGCCCCCAGGGCAAGATGCTCTCAAGAGCTCGGAGCTCGCATAGCCAACTGTAAGCTCCCAAGAGCTCTCGTCAGCAACCTTAGAGCAATAAGCTCCCGAGAGCTCGCACGGTTACCCGTCATGCTCAATAGAGCTCCCGCTGTGAACACTCTTAGCGGTCTGCCCCCAACGGCAAGAGGCTCCTAAGAGCTCGCACAGCCAACTGTAAGCTCCCAGGAGCTCTCGACACGAACCCCATAGAGGCGTCCCCCGAGGGCAATAAGCTCCCAAGAGCTCGCACGGCCATCCGTCGGCTCCCAAGAGCTCGCGACAGTAACACCCGTATCCGTCTGCTCCCCAGGACAATAGGCTCCCGCCGGCTCGAGCAGTCGCTTGTGCTCCTAAAGCTTCCAACAGTAGCGCCTATGCGGTCTGCCCCCAAGAGCAATAGCTCTGAAGAGTTTGCGCAGCCACCCGTCCGGCTCCAACGAGCTCTAGACATTGGCACCCATAGCGGTCTGCCCCCAAGGGCAAGAAGCTCTCGCGAGCTCGCGCAGCCATCCTTCGGGCTCCCAATAGCTCTCTACAGTAGCACCCATAGCGGTCTGCCCCCAAGGGCAATGAGCTCCCGAGAGCTCGCACAGTAACCCGTCATGCTTCCTGGAGGTCGCGACAGAAAACTATCGTAGCTGCTAGCCCCCAGGGCAAGAAGCTCCAAATAGCTCGCCCGGCCACCGGTCAGGCTCCCAAGAACTCTCGACAACAGTGGCCTTGGCGGTCTGCACCAAGGGCAGTAGTACCCAATAGCTCGCGCAGCTCCCTTCGTCAGGCTCCCAGGGGCTCTCGACATCAGCGCCCAAAACGGTATGTCCCAACTCCCAGGGCAAGAGCACCCAAAAGCTCGCACAGCCACCTGACATGCCCCCAGAGCTCTCGACAGTAGAGTCACTAACGGTGTGCCCCCAAGGGCTATAAGCTCCCAAGAGCTCGCACCGCCAACTATGATCTCCCAAGAGCTCGCACGGCCACCCGTCATGCTCCCAAGAGCTCTGGACAGTAGCGCACATGCAGCCTGCCCTCGCACCGTCAACTATGATCTTCCAAGAGCTCGCAAGCCCCCGTCATTCTCCCCCAGGCTCCCGACAGTAGCACCCACGCGGTCTGCCCCCAAGGGCAATAAGCTCCCCAGAGCTTGCACAGCCCCAACGCCCGCACCGGTCAGATGACCGTATAGGTCGCCGGCAGATACAGATAGTCGGACGGGTCGCTTTGGCGCGTCCACACATCCGGAGCTCACACCCGCCGCCGCCCGCGGCCCGGTTGTGAAACGAAAGAATTGCTGGCACGCAGCCCGCCGAAAAAGGCAGCGCGTTACGCCCTCCTCGTCGATCCAGTGCCGGTCCCCGCACCGCCGCGACACGTGCGAACCGTCGCACACTGCCCGTAGATGGCCGAGCCGTTCGCGCCTACCCCCCCCCCCCTGCGAGTGACGAGGGAGGGGGGTGGCAAGCGCCCCTGTGTGTGCCGCCGCGCCACTCGAGCCGGCCAAGCGCCCGCCCTGTCACCGCGCCCTCCCCCTCCCCCACCAGGGATGGGGGCGCGCAGCTGGGTGGACGCCGCCCCGCGGCGCATCCTCCAATCCAGTAATTAGACCGGGACCCGCGCGTTGGCCGCGCGGTGGACCTTCGGCCCATATCGCGTGCCCCTCCCCGCGCCGGGCGGTCGCGGCGCAACGGGCGCGGACACGCGGCGGACAGAGAGAACAGGGCGAACAGCAAACATCGGGTAAGATAACCGGACCTCTTACTCCCGCCCAAGGCGAAAAGCACACAGATCTGGGAAGAGAACCGGGCCGCTCCCGGCTACCAAGTACGGCCTTGGGTGTCGCTCCTTGAGGGTCAGGCGCGGCGGCGTCCGGCGAGCGCCAGGGGGCTCCCGACAGTGCCGCACCCAGTAGCTGCGCCTAAGGGCAATAAGCTTCGAGCTCGTAGGGCTGCCGTCGGTCCCACAGGCAAAGCTCCCAAGAGCTCGTACAGCTTCGGTCGCCCCAAGGGCAATAAGCTCCCAAAAGCTCGTACAGCTACCGTCGTCCCAAAGGGGAGCAAGCTCGCCCCAAGGGCAATAAGCTCCCAAGAGCTCATACAGCCGTCGTCGCCACTAGGTGCAATAAGCTCCCAAGAGCTCGTACCGCCTCAGTCGCCCCCAAGGGCAATAGGGCTACCGTCGCCCCCAAGGGCAGCAAGCGCTAAGCTACCAAGAACACGTACAGCTACCGTCGCCCCCAAGGGCAGAAAGCTCTCCCCCAAGGGCAATAAGCTCCCAAGAGCTCGTACAGCCATCGTCGCCCCAAGGCCAAAGTTCCCAAAAGCTTGCGCGGCCATCGTCACCCCAAGGGCAAAGCTCACATGAGCTCGTACAGCGACCGTCGCCCCCAAGGGCAGCAAGCTCGCTCCCAGGGCAATAAGCTCCCAAGAGCTCGAACGGCCGTCGTCGCCCTCAAAGGCAAGCTTCAAGAGCTCGGACGTGTGCCGAAGCCTTCGAGGGCCGGCATCAAGCTCGCCCCCAAGGGCAATAAGCTTCCAAGAGCTCATACAGTCATCCATCGTCGCCCCCAAGGGCAGTGAGCTCCTAAGAGCTCATACGGCTACTGTCGCCTTCGAGGGCAGCAAGCTCGCCCCTAAGAGCAAAAAGCTCCTAACAGCCCGTACAGCCAACGTCGCCCCCAAGGGCAAGAAGCTTCCAAGAGCTACCGTCGCCCCAGGGGCAGCAAGCTCGCCCCCAAGGGCGATGAGCTCCCAAGTGCTCGTGCAGCCATCGTCACCCCAAGGGCAATAAGCTCCCAAGAGCTCGTACAGCTACTGTCGCCTCAAGGGCAGAAAGCCCGCCTCCAAGGAAAAATAAGCTCCCAAGAGCTCGTACAGCCATCGTCGCCCCCAAGGGCAATAAGCTCCCAAGAGCTTGTACAACCATCGTCGCCCCCAAGGGTAAAGCTCCCAAGAGCTTGTGTAGCCTCAGTCGCCCCCAAGGGCAATAAGCTCCCAAGAGCTTGTACAGCCATCGTCGCCCCCAAGGGCAATAAGCTCCCAAGAGCTCGTACGGCTACCGTCGCCCCCAGGGCAGCAAGCTCGTCGCCCCCAAGGGCATTAAGCACCCAAAGGCTTGTACGGTTACCGTCCCCCCAAGGGCAATAAGCTCCCAAGAGCTTGTACAACCATCGTCGCCTCAAGGGCAAAGCTCCCAAGAGCTTGTACAGCCTCAGTCGCCCCCAAGGGCAATAAGCTCCCAAGAGCTTGTACAGCCATCGTCGCCCCCAAGGGCAATAAGCTCCCAAGAGCTCGGACGGCTACCGTCGCCCCCAGGGCAGCAAGCTCGTCGCCCCCAAGGGCATTAAGCGCCCAAAGGCTTGTACGGTTACCGTCCCCCCAAGGGCAATAAGCTCCCAAGAGCTTGTACAACCATCGTCGCCTCAAGGGCAAAGCTCCCAAGAGCTTGTACAGCCTCAGTCGCCCCCAAGGGCAATAAGCTCCCAAGAGCTTGTACAGCCATCGTCGCCCCCAAGGGCAATAAGCTCCCAAGAGCTCGGACGGCTACCGTCGCCCCCAAGGGCAGCAAGCTCGCCCCAAGAGCAATAAGCTCCCAAGTCGCCCCCAAGGCCAATAAGCTCCCAAGAGCTTG